TTTATCACAATTCTTTGATTGATGTGCCTGTTTAAAGGACCATAATGGAGGGTTTGAATGCGTTAGCCTTTTAAGGTCAAATCACATAATACTTTTACTACTACTTTGACAAAAATACATGTCAATACATGTTCTCTTTATTAACAACATTTGTGGGTAATTAAGCAAAGCATACAAAAACACTGGTATGACCCTTTTGAATATCTTACTCTTGACTATCATCTGTGATTTCTGTAAGTAAATAGCCTTCATTGCTCCACTCAATTTCTTTTGCAGGTCTTCCTCTATAGGGGAGAATTGCATATCCTGCCCTGCCCCTCCAAATCCAGTCCAGTGGGCATCGCAAAGGATGTCGTACCCAGTGTGGCACAAGCTCTTGCACTGCTCTCTACCCACCCAGACGCCTGTCGGGCAAGTCCCAAGATCTGTTCAGTCCTGAGGAAACGACTAGAAGGGTGAGAGGACGTCTTTTCATGAAAAAAAGTCAAATTCAGTGTCATTGACAAATTTATTTGCTTCCCACTAGGGATGCTATTGAATAGATCGTATCAGCTAGAAAATTGAGTAGTATAAAAGTGATACCGATTCAGACAGCTTCTGTGCAGCCTGCTGTAAAGAGAAGTGACAACATTCAGCCGCCCGTTTTTATAAAAACCCCATTTAAAAAAAAAAAAAAAAAAAATTAAATGTCAGAATGCAAGGTTTGAAGGTGTAGAATTTATGTTGGATACTAAGATTTACTACAAACTGGATAAAACTCGCAGATGCATAAGAATGTCTTATTAACGGCCAAAAATGAAAAATTCATATCAATCTCTACTTTCCCCTTAGGTATCCAGAGAAGATTGAAAGAGGTCTCCACCGTGCCCACTGCTTCATACCTGCAGGTATTGCCAAGTTGTTGGCACAGCGACCAGACCTAATCGCCCCTGCAGTGTCAGCTTTCTACCTGCGGGATCCAGTAGATCTGCAGGCGTGTCGAAGCTTCAAGACCTTTCCTCCTGATACAAGAGTTCTCACCTCGGTAAACACACTTAAAAATTCATTATTGTAGTGGTTTAGACAAAGAGAAGAGGTTGACCTTGTTTTAAAGGAGGTATTTTTATTTTAAAATATTGCTTCTGTTTTATTTTTATATTTCCAGGTGACATTCACCCGTTGCCTGTATGCCCAGCTGCAGCAGCAACAGTTCACCCCAGACCGGAGGAGCGGCTTCACGCTGCCTCCTCTCTCTCATCCCCAGTACAAAGCTCATGAGCTTGGCATGAAACTGGTGAGCCAATATTAGTGTTTCCTCTTCCTTCTGATTTGTCTTTTGGGTGAATAAAATGATCCTATATTATGTATTTAATTTCGTTATTGGTTTAATATCTGACTCTGTCTACGTGTGACCCTGCCCCCAGGCACATGGCTTTGAGATCCTGTGCTCTAAGTGCAGGCTGCCGTCATCAGAGCCTGATGCCCCCATCAGTTGTAACCCTCAGTGGAAAGGCTTCATGGACAGTCTGAAAAGGAACGGCTACTTCCGGGTTAGTCAAACTGTTTGAATTGTGATGTGAAGAGAAAGTAATTTAGCAACACAAGGGATACTAGGTTAAATGTAAAATCAATTTACTAGAATTTCTCAACTGTATAAAGTTAGTTTTTAATTTTATTGCTGTCAAATGCAGGGAGAGCTGGAGGGTTCGGCTCGTTTCAGCAAACTGACAAGATCTGCAGAAAACTTCTTCAAGCAGTCTGTGACCTCAAAATCGAGGTGAGGACTGCACTGTGTGATTATGCATGCCTGTAACATCCAATTGTGTGTGTCTGAATATAGATGTTGTGTGTGTTGTCAGTGCTTTGTCCCCAGGTGAGGAGGTTCTCCAGCTGCTGCACAGCTGCAGTTCCTTCAACATAGAGGAGCTGCAGAAACAAGAGTCACAGCTCCCCCAAGAGGACAGTAAGTGGACATGCATCTTTTTTTTTTTTTTTACTATGAAACACTCATTTGTAAAAAGGTTTTTAGGTTCATCCTTTAAGAGCACCTTGAATTTGTCTCAGTTACAATACAACTGGGTCAGATTATGACAAATGACCTTGACCTTCACCCATGTCCTAATGCTGAGTAGTGTCTTTTTGTGAATATGTGCATTTTGCTTACTCTAAATTATGTATTTGAAGGTTTATATGACTTTGAATTGCCTTTGTCTGTCTCTGCCACCTGGGATTTTCTGCTTCCTGCCAGTTCCTTTCAGTTTCTCTCCATTTGGTATACATCCTCCATTCTCTACCCTTCTCTCTTTCAACCATTTCCCATAATTGATTTTTCTTTGTGTCTGTCTCCAGGTGACAGTTGGCTGGATATCACAGCTCAGGATTTGGAGCGTATGTTGCAGGAGAGGAGTGGGGGGGGGGCTGATGTTGGAAGCCAAAACTCCAGTTCCACCAAACAGACGCAGCGTGTCACGGGTGCAGAGGAGAGGAGAAGGGAGACGGAGGATGACAAGGAGGAAGAGGAGGCCAGTTACAGCCTGGTAGCAGTCAGTCAGGGGATGAAGAACTTCCTCAGCGCCATGTCGTCGCATGAGGGTGCTGAACTGCCCTGGTGAGACAGAGTGACTGTACAATATTTAGTCAAGATCATCAAAGACACATTTGAGTCAATGAATAAAATGCTTTTACATCCAGATCTAGCTAATTCATTTAGATGTCTTGCCTCACCAACAGCTTTTCAGTTCAGGTTTCATATTTTTCTTCATATTCCAGGAGCAGCTCATCTCAGCCTTTTAGTTTTGAGCCTGTGTCCATGGCCAACGCACTGGACAGACTGCTGGGTATGTGGAAGTTATGAAAGATGTGCAACAGTAAAAATAACTTGCGGACACCTGACACAACTCCTTCCTCCTTCACTGAATGTGTCTGTCTTTTCATTTTTATAGGAAGTAAAGACGAAGAGCTAGATTCAGACGATCTAGGTGATGATGATGATGATGATGAGGAGGAGGAGGAGGAGGAAGAGGAAGAAGAAGAAGAGAAAGAGAAAGAAGAGGTGTCTTCTGGCCATGTAGAGATGAACGGGTCAGAAACTTTGGACAGTCTGAGACAATACATGGACCAAATGGATCTGGAGCTGATGAGCACTAACATAGGAAAAAGCTTCAATCAAACTGTAAGATCATGATTGTGATTGCAGCCTCTGCATAGCACATGCTTCCATCTGCACAGACTCAAGCTAAAGATATTATTTACTGTCAAGAAATATGCACTAAAAATAAGTGAAATAATGCAAATGTATCATCCTGAATGTAGTTAGGAAACAGTTTGTTTTACTTTATTTGTCCTTTCTGCAGAATTACAGCAAAGCAGACTTGGACAGTGGCTCTCCTCATCCCTCTGCCACGGGCGGTCCCCCAAGGGAGGGAGGGGTGGAGGACACAGAGGAGGAGATCCAGCCTCTTGACGTGGACTTCAACCTGGTCACAAACCTGCTGGAGTCCCTCAGCTGCCAGGACGGGTTGGCCGGACCGGCCTCCAACCTGCTGCAGAGCCTGGGCTTACACCTACCGCCCAACTCTGATTCCTCATGACAATTCCTCATCTCCCTTCAGAATGAAAGGTAATAAATAACACCCAACAAGGAGCAGCACCGACAGCTGTTAGAAGAGTGCCTTCATTACATTGACGGTACTTCTGTTGCCGAAGATCTCATCTGTGTTAAGTTTGTTCTGTGGAGTTTCCATTGTAACCAAATGTGGCTTTGTTTAGATTCACTCATTGTGTTCACTATAAAACTGAGTTCTTTAGGACTAACAGACACACTTGTAATACGCATTTGTAAAAATATTTTTAAATGTTTTGAAACCCGAATTGTTTCCTGTTTGCGGTTAATATTAAATGTGCATAAGTACAAAAGGACAAGGAAGCTCTTGTATGTCAATTAAATGTACACATAACACACCATAATAACAATAGAATTATTTATAGGATTTTACAAAATGTTTTGATAGCTCTGTTTGGTTTGTATAAGTAAGCAAATTTTGCTCAAAACATACATTTCCAATTGATGTCCACATCAATTATCTATGATGGGGTCATAATTATGGCAGTGTAAAAAGAAAAGCATTTAATCTCAGTTTTGGTTGCAATGTACATATAGATGTTCATGTCTGTGTTACCGTGACTCTTATGAAAAGTTGTTTTTTCTCTTTTCATGTTACTTAATCGTGGAAACCAACTCTCTCTCACAGTCTAGTCTCTGAAATCCATGTTTGTTTGAAGGGACAATAAAATGACAGAGAAATATTCTACAGCAAATTGTGATGTACTATTTTGATCAAGTTTACAGGGGATTTTAACACATGCTGCTAATGTTGGGATTGATGTCTCAGTGGTGGTTTTCAACAGCACTTGCATTCAGTTGTGAGAAACAGAATAAATATTTTTGCAAATAAACTTATTTCTGTCATTTCAGTTTATTCAATGTATACAGATTCTCTCCGGTGCACCATCACCACAGCTCAACATTATCCATTATTATTTTTCTTTAAATGTAATACTTCAGTACACATTTTGAAAAAGCTGAGTATTATTACCTTATTCTTAAATTAAGACATACTATGTCTTCTGGTAATAACTTACAAGAGACTGAAAGAAAATGGTGTCGGCATCATTTAATTCTTTCCTCATCGTGACCCCTTTTCATTTGACATACATTAGCAGTCAAATTCATTCAAGGGCAACTTTCTCTGGTTAAAAATTAATTCAGTCAAGATCTGAGTTTAGATATTTTTAACACAAAATGTAATAAGTGGGCTCAACTGTCTGTGTCCAGTACAAACAACCTCACTGTTGTCCCTTCTCATCTGAAAAAAGTGACCAGAGTCATTCAAGGACAACTCCCACAAAGCTGTGGTTGCAAATTAATTGAGTGAAACATGAGAGGTTAAACCTCTTAAATACTGTTAAGTAAATTACATCACATGTACAATAGGCTCCAAAAGTCTGTTTTCACTATAAAAAAAATCACAGTTTTTGTCTCGATATTATTCACAATTCTCCTCAAATGTCCGCAGATTTTCATGGATATACATGTTGATATTTGCTTGATAAGGCAGAATCACCTTCAGCTCTAAATGAAAACTTGAATTGTTCGACCCATGCAGCTTAGTTGTACTTGTTCCACTGTCAAAGAGCTGGTTTTGAAACTGCTACTGTACTATTAAGGCCATGCTCTGTCTTAAACTAATGTAATGGGAGTCTTTGTTTAGGTGGTTTGGTACGCTGCATCCTGTCCTGTCCTGAGGCTGGTGCTCTGTTACAACAGTCTGCTGGCATTAATACAATACCTGGTCTTAGTGTGTAAATCATTAGCTTGCTATGTGTTTGTAATATTCTGTCATGGTTTCAATCACTTAATGTATGCTGCTTCTCTGCTGCATTTTATGTACATGCCTCAGTAGCACAGGCCATGATGCTGTGAAAGGGAGAAAGTCGAAAGGTAACTTGTTATTCTACACAGAATTAAAAAAAAAAACACTGTTGTTAATGATTGAATGAATTGCATATGTCTCACTGCTACAGTCCTTTGAAGTGAAACTACAGAAGCTGGAAGAATGGCTGCACCGCCTGCCTTGCTGAATGGAGCAGTGCAGCAGAAAGCGGCGAGACACACAGAGCCGATATACCGACTAGGAAGTTCAACGCCACCCCCAGCAGGAGAATAGCAAGCAGGTATCCATGAAAGAGCAGGCTTTGCCAGCTGCCCTGACTCAACACCTGCCAGGGACTGTCCGGGTGCAGCAGCCACAGGAGGCCCAGCACCCAGCTCTGGTTGACCAGTTGGGTGTAGTAGATGTCAAAAATGGAGGCCTGGGCATCAGGGGAGTGGCAGCGCTCAGCATCAGATACTTTAGCCAGCCAGGTTAAAGAGAGACTGTGGAGGATTAAAGCCAGAGGTGCATAAATGTACTCCAGAGGTTCAATACCTGACAGACCCTTGGAGGCTGCAGAGATACAGAGGAAATTCATTAGAGGTGAATTTGTTCTGAGGTGACAAACCATTGTTTTCACCACTACATGACATCCTAAGGTTTACCTGAGATGACAATAGATGTCCCACTCACGATGGAAATCAGAACAGAGATGTGGATAGGTGGCAGCGATGCCAGCTTCAGGGTGAAACTAAAGCCAACAGTTAACAGGGGCAGCAGAGGCAGGGTGAGGGCAAAGAGGCCGGCGTACGAGCTGCTAGCTTTGGCCCACATGGCCAGCACATCATGGATGCTGTTACAGATAGCAGGCACCAGCACCCTCTCACCCAGGGACCTGGAGTAATGCTTCAGAGGCACCAGATCCAGGACATGCAGGAGATTTAAGACTAACAAGGAAATCAGAACCTGGAAAAGATCAGATAATGTTATTATAAAATGTTACAGTATATATATATATATATATAAAATCTCAAGTTCTATATACTATACTTGTTTCTACAACCTAAGTGGACAGTGGGGAGTGAAGAGCATTAAGCATAGCAACATCTGCATCTCTTTATGAAACAGATTTCTCTGGAGCACCCATAACTTGTACAAAGTGTGGACAATTTATACAAAGACGTTTTTTTTTTGACATTGGTTTTGAATTAAATGTAAATGATGCAAACCAATAATATGCTAACTCATCTATTTTGCTGAAATGATTAGTTCATTAAATTGATCAGTCAAATCATAAATCACTGAATTAATCATTAATAATTCAATTATTTATATAATTTATCAAGCAAATATGCGAAACATTTGCAGGTTCTAGCTTCTCCTGTTGTAAAAAACAAGCAATTTGAAGACATCGCTTTGAGAGCTGAGAAATTCTGATGTCAGATTAATCAGATTAATCAGATTCATCGATAATGAAAATAATTGTTGATTGCAGCCCTAATCTGTGTCACTGATTGGGGCTAAATTTCTATAAATGTATCAGTGTATCACGTTATATTATGTTGAGACTTGATTTTGTGACAATGACATTCTTATAATCAAGGAGAAAACCTGTTGGCAGAAGATGATGCATATTTAAAATGGCCTGCCACACATACCACACTCATTCATGTCCTATTGTTCTGAAGCATAATGTACCTTTCATTACAGAAAACAAACACATACATAAATTGAGGACTAAAATACAGGATGCTGAATATGAAGAAGAACATACCAGTGCCACGCCTGTGATCCACCGATGTTATGAGCAATAGTTCACAGTCGATATGTTAAGAGTGTGTGTTGCCTTGTTGAGTGTGAAACCATTTGAATGTTTTGTTTACCATAGTGCAATGTACAAACTATGTTATGTCAGAAATCAGAAACATTTTCCATATACCATATACTACATTATACCCACTAAAGGTCACTCTGTACACAACTGTCACTCACAAATTTCAGTTATTAGCAACTTCCACCCTTTAGACAGGGGGTCACATTTATATGTCTGTTATTTGGTCAGCCATTTGGTTAAACATCTATTCTGCCCAAGTGTTTTATCAGCACTAAAGCCCTTCTGTGACTCCCCAGCACCACATACCTTGTCCTTCACACTGGCTCACACACACCAAATACTGTCAGAGTTAGTTAGTAGTCAGCGGTCTGCACTTCATTGAACAGGTGGGACGTTAACTGCAGTAACAATTAACAACAAACCACTAAAAAGTAGCTGCTGCTTATTTAAAATCACTATTTTTCACATAAATGAGCTTTTTCAAAATAAATATGTGTAGTTCTTGAGCATCACTATGCTGCATGTGTATACTGCACATTTTCCCTATATGTTGGGTGATAAATGTAATTGCAGCATAAGCGAATGCCCTGCTGTCAGGACACACAGCAGTCTGTGTAAACAAAATAGCAGATAAGCCATAGCGTTCACTGTTGTCACACTTGCTGGTGGAAAGCAAGGCATTACATTTTGATTGCTTGATTTTGATCAAAGAGTAAACCATCCATAGAGACAAGCGGGGAGCAGGCACCAACCTGCGCAAAGCAGAGAGCCACAGCATACGGGTAATGGTACTGAGGGATGAAGATGCCGGACACAAAGTTTCTGAGTTTATCAGCCAGGCCATATATCACCACGACCACCAGGCAGAGGGTGGGGACCAGGGGCTTTAGTGCATGATTAGATGAAAGACTGTTCATCACTGAGGTGCACCATCCTCTCCTCCCCCTCCCTGAACTGCACAAAGGAACAGACATGAAGAGAGAGAGTTTGTAGTTTAAATAAAAAGACTATTTTACCAGGCCAGGAAATTAAATTGAGAGAACTTATTTTTTTCCACAGAAAAATTCAAAACCAGCTAGCCCATTTTTGCTGTAATAAATCTAACATCAATATACTGTATACTGTACTCCAGCTATTAAATTGCACCGATTTTAACGATGGAAATGACCTGTTTCTTATTGTTTCCTGTTTTTGCAAAGCTGCCAAATGTCTCATGCAGGACTAAACCTAGTTGATTATGAATCAGAAACTGTAGGATTTTATTTTCAAAAAATCAGAAATCAAAATATTGGACATTTTTATTGAATTTTACATGAGGTGTAGGCTTATTATAATAGCTATATTGGCAAATTTAAACTATCATTTTTTAAAATTAAGACATTTTTAGAAATCGCACAAAAGTCACCGGCAAAAGGACAAACATTTAAACGCTGCATTGGTGGGTAGACTCGCTTATTGTACAATATGTTATTCTCATATAAATTCTCAGGATAATAACAGCAGGAAGGTCATATGGCATGTCATTAGGTTAACTGCTGGTAAAACTATATGCTGCTTAAAAAAGAAATAGAGCTATTTACTGACTAAAACAACACACATTTAAATAGGCCTATATGCTAAAAACACAGTATGCGCCCCTTTATTTTGGACAGAAGAAAGAGAATATGAAAAGAGAAACATAAACTCACCATCTGGAATTTCTCACGAAGTCATATTTCATCATTTCAAAGTCCAATTATTCCATCTGAGTGACTGTAAACACCGTTCATTACCACTGCTAATAATAGTATAGTACATTTAAAATAACATTAATAATTCACCTTCTTAGCAAACGTCTCTCTCCCTATAATTTTGCTGAACACGCCACTGTCCACCTGCTCTCTGTGCTGCGGGCAGTCACCTCATTTGTTTTCTCACTGTGTCCAGATGGACTTTGGTCTCGGTCTGTTTGTCTCACCATAATTAAAGAAGCAATCTAGGTGGACAGTTAGTAAAGTGATTTTCTCCAAAGATACACAGAAATAGAGCAGACATCTGTGGAATCCACTAAGATCTGTTTGCTGACACATTTTATTACACGATGTGTGATACTGAGAGACAGCGGCATCTCTCAGCCTCATGGGAGGAATGTGTTTTATTTTGTGATCATGTTATATATCTAGAAATTGGTTTTAGATTTTTAACTTTGATGATATGCCTTCTCCTGAGAGTTATGGTTAGGATGAAGAGAGACTAAACCCTGGCTGTTTGTATCCAGCTTTGACACCTGTTTGTGACATTCCTGACACTCCTTCCCAAGCTTTACCTTCCCTACCCCCCACCCTCTGTCTGGATCCCTCTAGCTGTATAGACCATCATGACATCATGGTGTCCATGAACCAAATCGCTACATGAGTGAGGGTCTGTTTAAGTAAACAGACTCATCAGACTGAGCGGGTGAAGGTCTGTGCACTCTGGAGCTCAGACAAACACAGTAGCAGCATGAGCGCCCTGACTGATCCAGAGTACTATAGCAATAGGCCTGTGAGCTTCAGGGGGCTTTCAGTCATGGATCTGTGTGTCATTTAGGCTGGTTGAATATTGCAAAGCACCAACAATAAAAAAGAGGATGGTGACTGATCGTGTGTGTAAATATTACATGTGTGCACGCTGCGATGTGGGGACACTGATACAGTATGTGGAAACGTGTGCACAAACTTGGGTGTACACTGATATGAGTCATATACTGTACGTGTATGTGTAAACTGACATGTGTGTACAGGTTCTTCACTGACCCTTCACAAAGTGTGGAGAAGGTTGTTTCAGTACACTCACTCAGGAGCACAACAGGGGGCAGTCACAGTCTGTTTGGATGTTGGCAGCTTCCAGCTTTCTTCTCTCACTCCCAAGCTTTGGACACATTTGTAGGAATAACAACTATCAGGAAAATAAAAATATGACAACAGGCATTTAGTAAACCACAACTTTCCAAAATAAGTCAGTTTGATATATATATTTCATCAATACAAATGGTGGGAAACAGCTAAATACATTTACTGTGTTTAGGTATATTTTTGGATGACCTGTACTGTTTTTATTTTATTATTATTATTATTATTATTATTATTATTATTATTATTATTATTATTATTATTATCATTTAAATGTTACTAGTAAAATTATTTTTAGTGTGGTATTAGTACTTAAAAAAAAAGATGCAAATACTTCCAACACTGCCATAAACATACATTTATACTTATCTACCCCTTCTAGTGTCCTATCAATGTTTGTTGTTGTGATTTATGTGTAATTTGGCTGTAATTTCCCAGTGGGATTAGAAAAATCTATCTTCATGCATGTCTGAAAATGATCCACACTAGTGGTATTGGCAGTAGTAGCCGAGTACATTTATTGTCTTTAAAAGAAACTGGGTCGCAGTGTGCCACATCTGGAGTGGAAAACTGAAATAGAAATAGCGAAAACAAATGAGGGTACCAACAATGGACACGTAGCCTGTGTCATGGAAAAAGGCATTAGCAGGAGCGTTGACCAGCTGCGTTGAGTTTAATTAGGTGTGTTTGGTTGACATATAACAATACAGATGAAGGACTGTTGACTCACAGGCTGGTGTCAAGGACCTATAACTGTGTGTGTGTGTGTGTGTGTGTGTGTGTGTGTGTGTGTGTGTGTGTGTGTGTGTGTGTGTGTGTGTTTGTGAGTGTGTGAAGGGTGCTGTGAGGAAGATGGGGTTAACAGGGAGGTGGCGTGAAGTAAGATTCAAAATTTAAATAGTTCAATGAGGCAACCAAGATGAGGTTTGGAGGAGACATGTGACAGTGGATATTGGGCATACATAGTTCATTGTGTTTTATGTTTTTTGAGAGAAATGAATGTGTCCTTGGTGGAGCCATATTTTACTGAGGGATCCCTTCACTAGTATATTCTCTGCTAACATAAGGTTGTTTTGTCTTGATCTTTTCTAATTAACAGTTGGCTGCTATCAAGCAAGCTATATAAAGAATGTGATTTGTCTATTCAGTGTTTTCATGTGGCAACCTCAAACATACTTTTGTTTGTGCAAAGATTTATTAACCATTGATATAAAAAACAAATTTGTTTTATAGTAAGTAGTACCCTGAAATGTGGACTTTTATGTATCGTCTGTTATTTCTTCTTTCTGTGTCTCATCCAAATACTGCCTTAATCTCTGTATGGTTGTAAGATCAACTTGAAACCTCGTCCCTTATCATGTACACTGCAAGTATTGGGAGTTAATTTGGGTGAAGTAGGACTCCTATCCACGTCACCTGTCACAGCCAGCTACCATGTGGCCCTCTAGGGCACTTAACCGTTACTGTGTTTCCAAGACCACCAGCTAAATTAAGGGCAAGGTTGAAGCGGGGCAGAGTAAGAATCACAGCAACAACAAATAGTGCAGAGTGGGGTTTTTTTTTATCTTTTTACCTTGTTATTTACTGTTGGCATTCTGAGAGAATAAGAGAACAATTTTTCAATGTTTTTAAAATTATATATTTGTTTCTTGGTGTATCATGTTCTTCTAATGAAGGGCTGTGGGAACAGCTGATGCATCTGCCAAATGACTTAAACGAGATGGGCGTAGTACTGTCCAGGTAAAGATGTCTGCTGTTTTTTTTTTCACTTTTAAAAGTCTAAAACAATGCATTTTTAAATAATCATAACTGACTTTGTGTTTAGTCTCCTATAATTATAACATATAATCTGTTTTGATATTGTGCTTCTCTGTGTGTATGTGCCACTGTTTATGTGTCAGAGTGAATAACAGTTGTAGAGCGGCCTCCAGAGAGCCTGTCAACACATTCCAAACAGTGAGCAGCATCTCTGACAGAGAAGCTAATAGTACAGACAGTGACCATTCCTCCATCATACCTATCCAGAGCAAAGGTAAAGGCTGTAAATTACTTCCAACTCTCGCTGTTTTTACACACATAAAATGCATGCACACACAACTACACACATACAGACACAGTGTACTCTTTGTATTTCTTCTGCCTGCAAGTAGCGTGTGAGCCAGAAGAGGTGCTAGTTCCTGCTCTTCCAGAAACAGCTTGTGTAGAGCGAGGCTACATTACCCCACAGCAAGTGTACAACCTGCTGAATGCAGAAGAAGGCCAGCCTGCCTTGTATGATCCATACTATATGCTCATCCTGGACTGTCGCAGTGCAGAGAGGTGGGTGCTGCACGGATACACCAGGGCTCTTCACAAGCAGAAGCTCTGCCATGTATAAAGAAACCATACATGAGCAGAAAAATCACATCCATCAAATTAACAATCTGGCCTCAAAAGTTACCAGCTTTGAGTCAACACATCTATTTCAACAAAGAACTGGACATTACAAACTTCACAAAGACACTTGATATAACAGTTGCTTTGTTTGGCTAAACATGTACAAATATTACTATTTTAAAGGATAGGTTTGGTGATCTTCTGTACTTTTCTTATTGTCAATAAGTTTCATGAAAATATGAAAACCAACAATGAATTGATTTGACCAATAAATATTGTCTGTGTATCCAAAGCCTGATGCGCTACAACGTATGTGCCATATGGCTCCATTGTTGTCCAAAAACTATTAGAAACACATCAGTGAGCCACACTGTTACACTGGCTGACATACTCTTTCATTATAATAAACGTGGACGCTGTAATTTATCCTGTCCTGCCGGCAGAGATACTTGCTAGAGCACCAAATACATATAAATCAGCTGCTAGAAAACTAGACTTTTCATGGAGTTTGTTTACACTTAACAAAACTATATTTGCAGAATATCACCAGCCTCATCCTCACGTTATGTTAAATGTGCGTGCATATGATGAATGAATGTGTGTGTTAAGGTACAAGGATAGCCACGTGGTGACAGCGCGGGCCGCTGTGACGGTGATCCACCCCGAGCTGGGCTGTCTAATCAGCTGTATAGAGCTGCAGAAGTATTCTATAATACTGCTGTATGCAGAGGAAGGATGCAGCCCAGGTCAGCAAACCATAATCATGCACTCTCACAAACAGACATGCACACATGCAGAAGAGCATACTGGAGAACATGAGTTGCCACTAACCAAGCATAATCATGTTTTAATTATGCCAGCAGCATGGCTCTGTAGATGAGAATGTCAGTCTGCTGGTCCAGAGTCAAATATTTCAACTAAGATGGTGAACATGGTAATCACCAAATCTGCTTAGCATGAGCTTAGCCTTGTTATAGTGAGCATGTTAGCATGTTGATATTAGCATTCTGCTCAAGGTAGCACTGTTTCAAGGTACAGCTTCACAGTGCCGCTATCACAGCTCTAGGCTTATCCTGTTGAAATCTACCTGGCTGTCTGATTGTATTGTATTCATTTATTCTGTAGTCTGTCACTGTAATTGTATTTGTACAAATTTCAGTGGGCAGTGTGAAGGCCAGGGCAGACTCCCCAGGCCTGCAGCGCTGTTTCTTCCAGCTCAGTGCACTGGGAATGGATCCTGTCATCCTGTTGGGGGGATTCTCAGCCTTCCTTGCCCTCTATCCTTTCCTGTGCACACCAAGTATGGTCCTGCTTGAACCTGAGCGGCACACCCTCACCATCTACCCCTCAGAGATCCTGGAGGGAGCTCTCTACCAGGGCTCTGCCTCCCAGGCCTCTGACTACCGCATCATCAAGAATCTACACATCACACATGTGGTCAATGCCACTGCCAACTGTCCTGATGCTTTCCCCAACATGTTGTGCTACCTGCAGCTGCGTCTGAGCGATGATGCCCAGCAGGACCTGGTGGAGGCTCTGCCGCTGGCATCCAGGTTCATCAACACAGCGTTGAAGGCCGAGCCAGCTGGCCGTGTTCTGGTCCACTGTAGTATGGGCAGGAGTCGCAGCTCAGCACTCACACTGGCCTTCCTCATGGAACACCAGCGCTGGTCACTGCTTCATGCCCTGCGATGGCTGAAGGAGAGGAGGGCATGCACAGCACCCAACGTGAACTTCCTGCGTCAGCTGCTGACTTACGAGGAGCAGCTGTTTGGGAGCAGACTCACCACCCTAGACGACATCCGCCGATGACTGGAATAAGAATGGGAATGGAAAGAGGGATACGCGGGATGTTTTTTCTACAGTTCAGATTGAGAGAAAGTGTATAATATTTTTTTCCCACACTTCACATTGAGAAAAAGTGTAAAATAAGATGAGACTGGGCAAACAGAGGTGGATTTTTTACTGCAAGAAAGACTCTCAAAGACTGGATAGGAGTATTTTTCCCACGAGTTTGAGAAGCCGCACACAGTGCTATGCCTACATAACAACAGTAGTCATACAGATGTTTAATTTTGTGACTTCTGTATGACTCAGTATAATATAATACCTGTTATGACATGTTGCTTGGTGATAGTTGATAGAACAAGTACAATAATAAAGTGTATGTATTACATTTTACATTAGGATGGGTTTTTTTTCTTCAGTTTTATCCCTTGAAGTGATGATATTCTATAGAAATCATCTAGATTTATCCATTTGGAAATATTGCAGTCAATTTGACAGCTACTGCTACTCTTGCTGCTCTTTCTTTCTCTCTCTCTCTCTCTCTCTCTCCCTCCCTCCCTCTCTCTCTCTCTCTCTCTCTCACACACACACACACACACACACACACACACACACACACACACACACACACACACACACACACACACACATAGCTCCACCCTGCTGAACTCAACATGCAGCAGGAATTCCCTCCCTCCAAACACACTTTTAGGTTGGGAGGAAGGAATTTTCTGGAATGTGGGAGAAGTGAGAGGAGAAAAGACTGCGGTGATAAACTAAAGAATACATACACATAACCTCACAAACCATCACTTAGATTGGGGCTATTGAGATTAGGTCGTAAATACCATGTCAAATAAAGTTGTGCAGTGATTTTTCATTCAGAGAATTAGAAGTAAACTCCCCTGACTTTGCATTACATTTTCAACACGTGGCGAAAGGGTGACCCCCAGTTTTATTTATTATGTGTTTATTTATTTCTTTTTAAATTAAAACGGTAAATACTGATCCGTGGCTGTTTTACTACGGCTCAAGACAACTATAGACACCTCCCCTAGCAATTTACAAACGACGGCCCCCCCAAATCTAGTAGTAGGAGGCTGTCTGCATGTGAGAATCTGCACGTAGCATTCAGACTCGGACTTGTAGAAATCCAGCCCTAACCACCAGATGGCCAACAGTGCACCGAAACATCACAAATAGGACGAACCAGCAGACTGACACCGTGTTCATCCTCTTACCGTTAACTGCACCGGGTCAGTTTGAGCTGATTCCTCAGAGGACGCAGCGACCGGGGGGGACACAGTTCTGCTAACTCACTGGATGCTCTCGCTTAGGTAAATATCGACTCCTCTCCTTGCTGGCATTTCAGGTAGTTTGACAACCGTACAGTTATGGACTGTCTATTTCACCGTATTTTCTGTTTACAACTTTTATTTTGTTTCCATCATTAGGTTAGCTAGCTAGCTGAAAACTAGCTAAACTTGGATGAAACTTTGGTATTTGTTATAGTTCTCGGCAGCAGCAACTAATATGATAAGCTTTAATTGATTGAGGCGGACTAAAGTGAGCCAAGCTCAGTTAAAGCACGGCAAAAGTAGCGATTAAAGAAAACCAAGCCTGGGTTTTCACCATGAAACTAGCGTTAATGTTGAATTCCGATGCAATGCAGCGTGGGATGCTACTGCCGTCACTCTGCTCTGTGTTGCATGCATTCATTTTTCATTTTAACGGCATACACCGGATTTTATCTGTTTTCTAGCCAACATTTTGCACATTAACAGTCACGCAGGCTACTATATGACACACTGCAGTGAGGGGATAAAAGCTAATTTTCAATGGAAGCTTTTTATGTTTGTAGGCTAATTACTTTAAGCCTACCTCCTAACTCGTTTGGGAGTAAACAAACAACCCTAGCTGCAGTCTAGGAATTAAAAGCCTCTCTGTGGTGAGTCAGTTTGCAGGAGTTATTGACGGGTTATAACAGGTAAAATAATTCAGTCAGACTCCATTGGGCAGTGTGCAGTCCTCACATGAGTTTCCCCGGCGGGGAGGGGCGAAGACGTGGCAGTCCCTTTCCATCCACATCCTGTGTTATCTGACTCCACAGCTTCACTCCCAGTAAAACTTGGAGACGACAGTCGTGATGATGGAAGTTTCTCAGCGAAGAAGAAACTGTAAGATACTGTAATATACTGAGAAGAGAAGTCTCATATTTGTTCAAGAGTACAGCAGCTACAGTGAGGCTTAAAAAATGTATTGAGAAATTCACGTCATGACAATACCTTGGAATACTTGAAAGGTGAATGGTACTCTAGTTTATTAGCCCTTTTTTATGATATAATTGGGTCATTTTGTCTTGGAGATAGTAAAAAAAATGTATACAACACTGATGTAAAACTATAAAATCATTATGAACCATACATTAATACTTTTAAGGAAACAATATTGATTATTTTATTAATGGTTCTTTGCTGTCTGATTTTTACCCACTGGAGGAACAATTTCCCTGCAGATACTGTGGATGTGAAATTCAAAGAGCAAGGCTTCCTCAGGCATTCACCATTTTGCATTTTGAGTTTTTAAGATGATAAGTCGAGGAGAAAATCACTTGCAGAGGAGGTAGAAATACCAATATATGCACTAACAGCTTTTACTTAAGCTATTTCTCCCTCTTACATTTAAAATCCACAAGTGTGAGCACTGGGAGCAACTGCTTATGGCACTGTGATATATCCTCATTTCCTTTAATTAGCATGAAGCTTTGAGGCGAAAAAGAGTCTCCTAATGAGCATGTTCAAACAGAATGCTGCTGCCCAGTTCACGCATAGTTTGAAAGGTCAGAAAAAAAAAACTTTTATGCAAAATTTATACAAATGAGTGTCCTGTGTTGTGTCTAAACAAGTGGCTCTGCAATGGTCTGGCAGGTGTTGTTAAATGGTCTATGTGCTGTCAGGAATGTTTTGGTTTCTGTGTGCATACAAGCATGTATGCATATAATCACTTGCAGAGGAGGTAGAAATACTAATTTATGCACCAACAGTTTTTACTTGAGCTATTTCTCCCTCTTACATTTCAAATCCACAAGTGTGAGCACTAGGAGCAACTGCTTATGGCACTGTGATATATCCTCATTTCCTTTAAGTAGCATGAAGCATACAAGCATGTATGCACACAGACACTTTCACTACCACTCACTCTCATGTGTGGCCTGACATATGGATCCAAATTATACCTGTTACACTTACTGCTTTAATCTTGATATTACACTTCTAAACTATTATAACAAGAGAGACACAGTAGCTGTCACCCTGTCATTACAATAATTACATTCTACTGAGTTTTTATCCTGGTGGAAATCTAAGTGGCAAAGGCACATTTATGCTATTCTGGACTGAGTGGCTCCACAGATTCTGGAAAAAACAACAGTAACTGTTAAGGATAATTGCATTTTGCCACTTTCTCTACTTAAATATCCAGAGAATACTTGAATTTAATGAAGTTTAATTTTGATTTAATTGACTAAGTTGAGTTCTGACAGATATATTTTCCTTCCTCTATGTTGCCTGCTGCTGACCTAAATTGAAATCCCATGTGAAGTTATTCTTGTATTTTCACTGAAGGCTTGTTTTTGTGGCAAAGTCAGAACCTGCCTGAGCCTGTTGTCTGCTGTCAGTGAGAGGCACAGATACATGGCTCATGCATGACCTTTACTTTGCCCACCAGGCGTATGTGTGTACATGTGTGTGTGTAAAAAGGATGAACATGAGTTTGTTTCACCATTTACAGTTAAATGAGCTTCACGTCATTGCAAACCAATGCCTTGGAGTGTGAGAATTTACCTGTTAATGACTTTATCATAAGCCTTTTGCCTTTGTTATGTCTGACATAGAAATAGTTTTGCTTAAGTTCACAAACAACATGGTGCTGTCTCTAGTAGGGCAGTGTTTTCGAGAAGTAAGAGACGAGCTGTGCTCAGCTTATTATCTTACTTGTGTTGCATATAACTACATAATCCAAGAAAACACCCAGAGGTCATAGTTTCACTGGTGATTTGGTAACAAACCCAGTGTCCGTACTTGTTTAACATGCCCCAAGAGAGAATAAATACCAAAGTCTGTATACACAGCTTCAGACTTGTGTTGTATAGTTTTGGGAAATCATGATTCTGTTGGAATCGTTTCTCTCTAACAAATTCCTTCAAGGCTAGTTAGTTTTTTTTATCCGTTGCATTGGAAGCATTTTTGTCACAATGTGCTGCACAGAAGCACAACACGGTTTTGCCTTGGGTACATTATCAGTCCTATATGTTTGTTTGATATTATGATATCTCAAAAACATGTTAAGACATCTAAGTTAAGTGTGGTGGAAGGGAAGAAGCCATGTGTTTTGGGTTTGGAGCTAGATACAGGTTTGGATCCAAGAGGGATTTTTTTAAGATTCATGTCCACAGATACGTACCTTGCCGTGTGCAAACGTGACTTCCTGCCAGTCTGTCTGTGTTCTCTTTTTGTCTGTATGGGTAGAGAGATCACAGTGCCACTCCTAACAGACCAAAAACCCAGTGGTAGTTATGGCTGTGCCAATGGCAAAGCCAAACTGGACACAGTGACAGCAACCACAGACTTATATTTGGCTTTGTGTGGTGGGTAGGAGGCTGCACTTCTAAAAACATTAAAAAAATTCCCAAGTTTTTACTAAGGCTTTGCTTAATCTTTTGCTTTACCTTTTGTTTAATCTGGATGTATATTCTCATTTCTAGCTCTGTGTTTCCTAAATGGTCAGTTCAGCCTAATCACTGAAAACTTATGTTCCCACTTACCTAGAGTAATATTTATCTATGCAGATAGTTTTTGTTTTATCTTTTCCAGATAACTGCTTCTGAGACTTCTGCTCACTCAACAGCAACATCTCTTTCCAGAAACAATAACCAAGTTGCTCTGGACAATCCACAGACTTTGCTGCCAACAGTTTTCACTGGGAACAATTTTCTACTGAAGAATGAAATAAAGCTAAACTGCCCAAAGTAGGTCTGTGGATTATCCAGTTTTAAACTGAGTTAACGACCAGGTTTTGAAATCGGTAGGAGCAGCACTGTAGTTAGTAATGGAAGGCAACAATATGAGAAATCAGGGAGGTTTCAGACAGTGGGGGAAACAGTAAATTCTGGATTGGTTGTAAGGGCTGGAACGTTTGATGTGGCTCACTCGGAGTAAACTCAAGTAACCCAGTCAGTAGACGACTAAAACTTGAAAAAGGAGCTTCTAACATCTTTGTGATTTTAGGGATATTAGAGTGTGACAGCTTGCAGTAGTAAGTCGTGGCTATAATATGGGTCTGACATGACAGTCAGTTGTCAATTCTACCTTGATGACATTATTTTTGATGACATTATTTTTTAAAGTATGACTCAATTTTCAAGATAATTTGTTGAACAACGTATCTCTCACTCTTTTGTCAGGATGGAGCTACCGTGCTGGTGCTTACTGTTGCTGAGCTGCCTGAAGTCGCTCTCAGCCCACAATGACTTCTTCACCTCCATAGGTAAAACCATCAAACAACATATGGTACTCATGTTGTAAAATGGTCCCTCTGCTGACCTCCCTGCATATGGTTTCTAATTTTTCATGTTTTACCACTTATATGTAAGCAAAGTACATAGTAAGATGCTGTAATGATCGTATTAATGATACCCTGTTTATATTATCAGTACAGTTTTGATGGTGAAGTGTTTCTGACTTGTGTTCCTCAGGCCAGATGACAGATCTGTTATACACAGAAAAAGACCTTGTCACCTCTTTAAAGGACTACATCAGAGCGGAGGAGAACAAGCTTGAGCAGGTTAAACGGTGAGTTTGTGGACATAAAGTTACACACATGGATTGATACACAAACATACGTACGTGTACACAAGCATATAATATGATGCACATGTGGATTCAATTGTGTGCAATGCATCTAACTCTGTATTACCTTCTCTGTAATAGATGGGCTGATAAGTTGGACTCATTGACAGCCACAGCCACTCAAGACCCCGAGGGATTCCTGGGGCACCCTGTGAATGCCTTCAAACTGATGAAGAGGCTGAACACAGAGTGGGGGGACCTGGAGAGCCTTGTCCTCAGTGACACCACTGATGGTACGGATAAGGAAAACCTAGATCAAATCAGCAATAAATCAGTATGCTGATACTGTCTAGTGGGTTGGTGTTTGGCAGATGCTACGTTAAGTGCCAGAAGTTTAGAAAATCACAGGAAATTGCTTGAGTTTAATTAGTTTATATCACTGCAATGAGCTTACCTTTTGCACTGAATTTCAGAGAATGATCCCCAACACTATTTGACGCTGGTCAGTTCCAGACATAAACACTGACTGGACATGGAACTGACTAGTGCAACAGATTGTCTCCAGGGTGCAGGAATGTTTTTGTTTGTTTACCATTACAGCAAAAAAAAAAAAAAAAAAAAGGACCTTTAGAAGACACATATTTATTCAGGGGAAGAAACTGTGTATCTTTGCTTGTTTGTGTTGTCCCGCACAATCACACTTGATATATTTTAGTAGCAGTTACTGAGGTAAACGAGAACATTATTTAGCCAATTTCCCCACATCTGGCTTAATGTAACTATAACTCTCCCTCAAGATCAGAGTCACATCAAGCAGTCTCCCTTACCATTAAGAGAGTATTCATTTTCCACTGTTATGGATCCCATACAGAATCATCTTACTATACCTTCTCTGTCCTTTCCTATCCTCTCAGGATTTATTTCCAACCTGACCATCCAGAGACAGCACTTCCCCACAGATGAGGACCAGACTGGGGCTGCTAAAGCTCTGCTCCGGTTACAAGACACATACAGACTGGATGCCAACACCATCTCTATCGGAGATCTACCTGGTACGGACCTTGAATCAGTGCATACCTCATCTACGTGGTACAAAGTTTGTGTACCCACAAATCACTTTTTCAGAGGAAGCAGTCAAATAACAGACATAGACAAGACTGAATGACATGAAAGACACAGTAAATAGCGGACCATGTGGGGATTGAGGGTTTTGCTTGGTTTCCGTGTGATTTGCAACATGAATGAGGTGATTCTGTTTTCCTTTCCTGTAAATGTTTCCTTCCTGTATCCTCTGTATACTAGGAGTGAAACACAAGAGCCTTATGACAGTGGAGGACTGTTACGAGCTTGGGAAAATCGCCTACTCTGATGTTGATTACTACCACACAGAGCTGTGGATGGCCCAGGCCCTGAAACAGCTTGATCAGGGAGAGGAGTCCACTTTAGATAAGGTGACAGTGCTCGACTACCTCAGCTATGCCATCTACCAGCAGGGGGAGATTGATCGAGCCCTGGAGTACACCAAGAGGTTGCTTGAACTGGGTGAGTCTCTCCACACTAGAAAGTATTTTTCCAATTTTGAAAAGTACATACAGGTGTGTTTTGTGATGTGAAGCGATATTTTCACATTGAAGGTCAGATAGGCTAGAACTTTTCTCATCAGTTTTTGCCCAGACTTGCACAGTTACTAGATTTTATCTTGTTTAATTAGATAAGACTATAAAAGTATATAAATAGCCTTTAATTTTACCAAACACACAAAGACAGTACTAAGAAAGAAAAGCACTTAAGCAATAAACAAAACAAATGAGACCTTTACTTTGGTTTGAATTGAATGACATACTAAACAGAGGTGAACCAGAGGCCAACACTTTCACGCCGTACTGACATAAATAGTACAGACCATTACCATGGTTGGGTCTAAACAACCATGCCATTACCAGTCTGTGGAGTTTTGTCTGTAAACAATACTGTTTTTACCACCTATAGTCCTCTATTGGTCTGATTCAAATCTAACTGAATGTTTTTTTTGGATGTTTGTAGATTTACCGTTTAACAAAACAGTTTTCTCTGCAGGACCGTTCAGAGATGTGGATAGAGCTTCTTAGACAAGACCTGCTCTTTACTGTTAACTATTTAAGGGTAATCACAGAAGAGTTGGTTTATTTGTTATAATCATTTGACTGAGAATTATTGTAGAACTCCAACCTGCAGTCCATTAGTTCCATTTGCTCTCGACTAATGCACTTGATAATGAATGCCGTGATACATTTCACGACATTGTGTTGTTTTGGTATCATGAATTTGAAACAATGTTCTGATGAAGCTTTGGTGGTGACCTGGTTGTCGTATGTTTTCTTCCAAAAGCGCAGATGAATTGATTGGTCCTGTTTTTAGCTCTTGTTTCTCAGAAGTGGATAAAGCCAGACTGAACAAATTGCATATTGTTATGTCATGTTGGAAGCTCAGTTATTTTGATTGCAGGCAGTGTGATATTTTTAGATGACATTTCTGCAGTCATCACTATTTGTTGGTCTTGAATTTTTCAATTTCAGACCCGGAGCACCAGCGTGCCAATGGCAACCTGAAGTACTTTGAGTTCCAGTTGGAGAAGCAGAGAAAGGCTGCGGAGGCTGAAGGTGAAAAACAGAAGGAGCGAGGGAAAAGAGAAACAAGTGAAAAAAAGAAGAAGCCCAAAAAGAAAGCCTCGAATCAGCTGATCCCAGAGAGGAAGAAGTATGAGATGCTTTGTCGTGGGGAGGGCATCAGAATGGTGAGGAAGACAAAGAGATACCCAAAAAGAATTTATAACTTAAAAATATAAAAACTCTGTTTTAACTCTTTTGTTTCCTGCTTTCCTTTCCTCTCAATCAGACCCCCCGAAGGGAGAGCCGACTGTTCTGTCGTTACTATGACAACAATCGCAATCCCATGTATGTACTGGCACCTGTCAGACAGCAAGATGAGTGGGACCGCCCCTACATTGTCCGTTTCCTTGACATCATCTCAGACAAAGAAATCGAGAGGGTCAAGCAGCTTGCAAAGCCAAGAGTAAGTGATTTCTCAGAAGTTTTCTATGCTGCTATATGATGCACGTATGAAGCGGTATTGGTCACTACAGCTTATTGTGATCTAGTGAGAGATTTGTTAGGCTTTTTTAATTTCTGTTTTGAGGTTTAATATTGTTCAGGGGTGGGAGGTCAAAGCTGTGAGGCTGGATGATGTGATGCTACTAGTTTGACAAGCACACAGGCACACACATCTTTGTATGTGTGTGTCTGTGTGTGGGTAAATCGTGTCCCTGGCTTCACAGCTACGCAGGGCCACCATCTCCAACCCCATCACAGGAGTGCTGGAGACTGCTCCATACCGGATCAGCAAGAGGTAAGGCAGAGCCAGGATCCACCAAGAACGGAGGATATAAGAGAGAGTTGAGGGAGAAAGTGAGGTTCTCTCCCTCTTTTTCCCTCAAAAACTGATTCTATTTCTCTTCTGTATTTCCGTCCGTCCATAATAGCATTTCTCCGTCCTGCCAAAGCTTAAGGGCTCTTGAGCTGAAGCACACAATCCAGCTGAGAATGATCAGAGATTTTATACTGCATAGAAATATTTGTAGACAAATTTTTGTTTTATAAAGGATGTTTCAAAATATTCAAAAATATTATCTCATGATGCTTTCATTAATGACACAGAAATGAGAGAAAAAAGGAAAAGAATGAAGATATTTTGTTCTATTTGGATTATGCTGCTGTTTTTTACGGATCTGTTGTGGATATGATTCTGCTCAGGAGTCTGTTATAGAAAGGTAACACGAGAAAATAGAGGGAGGAAAAGTGTTACTTCTTCTATTATTAGATATTAACATAGTTGCTTTTTGTGAGCCAGGAGATGTATCAGAGGCATTAATTCCCTACTGATAAATTTTCTTATTTGAAACAGAAATTTGGTCTCTGGTCTTGCCTCGTGGAACATTCTCTTGGCCCTACTGAAGAATAACATTGACAATTAGTGACCAGATCTGCCTTTCTTTTCTCTCTCTCTTTCCTCTTACTTTTCACTCATCTTCCCGTGTGAATCACATTCCATTGTCCTTTTTTTCCTTTTCCTTTGTTATCTTCTTTTCCTCGACCTCCGTGCCCTTGTGCTGTGGGAACTACTGTAGTTAAGGCGAGCCACGGTGCATGACCCCCAAACTGGGAAACTTACTACGGCCCAATACAGAGTCTCCAAGAGGTAAGGGGTCACAGGTCACCAGGAGGGCCACAACACCTTCCCCTCCTCCTAATCCAATTCATCTTTATGTCTGCGCCACTAATTCAGCCCTGCACCAAGCAAGCACCATGGAAAAAACAATGAAAATGTTTAGCTACACCTGGCAAACTAACACTAGAGGAAGTTTTTAATTTGGTTTAAGTGTAAAACTTTTCTCCCTAAAACATCATTTAAACCAATTAAACAGGCCTCTGTTGTTGTTTTTTTGGTGTAGATGAAGTTTTCTTTGTCCTTTCATTTTACTGAATGATTCAGGCATGTTCATGGAACTGCATAGTTTTGACAAGCTGTTCTCTTTCCCCCAGAAGTCCTCCCGAGGTTATTTGAGATCCAGAAGACTGAATCTCTGTTCCCCATTGCATTTTCCAGGAATGAATCTGCATCACATTCTCATAAAAGCTCATTACAGTTGCTGTGGTTCTACTATGCTTCTTCCACTTCCATATCCATATCAGCAAGAAACAAGAAAAGGCCTGAGTCATGATGCACATACTCAAATACACAGATATACTGCAAACGAGTTTAAATGTAGTTTAATTTTTACAGATTGAATTGTTAGTCGAAGTTGCAACCCACCCTAAAAATACCAGGTTTGGCAGCCCACCAAAAACCCCAAGTTTCTTTGGTTTTACTGTTCTTGGTAATTAATGTGTTTGTGTGAGGGTGTGGCATTCCTTTGATGTTTTGTATGTGTACGTGCTAGCTGGCATGTATTTCCAAATTCAGTGAACATCTAGTGATGGAACAGTCGGGACAGATGGGTGAACTCAGAAGAGACTGACCTGTGCTTGAACTGGCTGTAAGACACATGAGGAAAGAATTTGTTGGCTCACATTTGGTCCAGCCTCCCAACAAAAATGTAATTTATTATCAACACAAACTCTGAATAAAAAATGATGACTCATCCCACTGTCTCTCATACACACACACATACACACATTTCCAAGTAGATCTGCAGAAATTCCCAAAAACACCTCCAAGAGGCGGTGGGAGTCGTCTCATGGGCTTTGTGTCTTAAAAAGTCCTCTAAATTTGAGAGAGTGATGGAAATTGGAATTCATTCTACCTTTATCTCATGGGATGATGACTTAATAGCAATTATATATTACAAAATACCCTGTGTGGTTGGACAATTTTCTATCTGGATAATAGATAAACTGCCAATTTAAACTTTACAATGTGATCTGCAGAACTAGAGTTTTGTCAGGTTTTAATAGTTTACCAGACAGAGTCCACTGCCATGATCCATCAGGAGCTTATTTTATCAGGGGCCTTCTCTTAGATTGGGGTGTGGGAGTGAGCATGAAAGGCAGTTAGTGTCAAGAGAGTGAAAATATTTTACCATAATCCTCAACCAGGCTCTAATGCAAAATGCTCACCAGACTCAAGTGCAGAGTCAGATCAGAACAACCCTGTACCCTGAGCTGATTGGAGATTCTGAATCCTGGGCAGTTTTCCAATTTTACATCTTCTCTACTTCCTTTCTATCATCTGATTGCACAACTTCACTTTTTTTTTAGCTTTTCACGGCAATTTTTCTGCATGACGTCTCTTAGTCATTTCTATCTCAGAAGAAATCTTTACTGCCATCTAGTGGACAAATATGTGTCTTTCTGACATATAGTGAAATAAGTTCCCCTTCTTTCTCAACTGGTCTGCTTTCCCTCCTGTATTCCAGTGCTTGGCTCACTGGCTATGAAGACCCCATGATTGAAAAGATCAACCAGAGAATTGAAGATCTCACGGGGCTGGAAATGGACACTGCAGAAGAGCTGCAGGTAAAAAGTTGGTTAATAATTTCAAAGTCTTGGACATTCAACCAAGACAAGGCAAAACCCAACTTTGTATATATCTTTCTGTTGGATAATCTGAATTGTACAGTTGTGAGACTTATATCTTATTTTGTTGATCTCTGTAGGTTGCAAATTATGGTGTTGGAGGTCAATATGAACCTCACTTTGACTTTGGAAGGGTAAGAACCTTTGTGATTCTCACAAATTAAATATTTCAGAATGTAAAGTAGTGTTAATATGGCAGGACATTAAACCTGATGTTGACTCCTCTCCACAGAAAGATGAGCCTGATGCCTTTAAAGAACTGGGCACTGGGAACCGCATAGCAACATGGCTTTTCTATGTGAGTAAACTCTCCTAAATACACTACACAAAGTTCCTATCCTAGCACTGTATCAATATTATACAGTCAACAGCCATTATTTACATGTATGTACATTTTAAATAGTGTAGGCAATGTAAAGCATATGCAAGAATACAAGAAAAAAGATGCAGCCATTATTAAGATGATAGACAACATTATGGATGAAAAACAGATCATTCCAAATTAGAACTGAACTAAAGGAATCTCATTAGGTTTAACTTAACAAAGTTGAGGGTAGATTTGATAAGAGGACCTCACTCCATATGGTGTTGAGTAAAATTTATTTCCTGTGATTAGAAAAGCTTGTATAAATGGAGCAGTCCCATATTTGTCGATGAAATAGCAAAGCTCACTATGAATTTTATCCTCGGTTTTGTTCAGGGTGACACCCTGGTATTATACATCAAGGACTGTCTGATTATGAGCTGTGCTAGTGTGCTAAGTCTTTGCTGTTATCAAAGTAACATCTGAGTTAAAGTAGGTCCTACTCTGCTGATGCAATAAGGAGGAAGTTGTATTTTCTGGGACTCGGAAAGAGATGATGAAAAACAGTTTTCAGAATTCATTTAGCGGGTCTAAAAATCAACTTTGAATACCATTAAATGTTAATTTTAAATATTAAAATACAGTACATGCAACTACTGAAGCGCTATGACCCCTGACCATAGTTTCATATATTAGGACCTGCAGAATGATTTGCTTTGACTGATAAACCCTGACCTCTGCCTCTCTGTCACTGTTGTAGATGAGCGATGTGGCAGCAGGTGGAGCCACAGTATTCCCAGATGTTGGTGCAGCAGTTTGGCCCCAAAAGGTAACCAACCACTCGCGCTACACCACTTACTAACATCCATTATTACTGACTCCATAGTCGTGTCTGAATCGGTCAACTAAATGCTAAATCATTGTAACGAATTGTACCACACACACAAATAAAAAATGTGCAAAATGCTGTGCCTGTTGTTTTTGCTATTCAGTGAGGAACAGTACCAATTAGTCGGCACATTCAGTACACTTATTCACACACTATCTCTGTCACACACACTCAACAAAATCCTCTAAAAGGGTAACAGTTCCATGCAAAATAGGATCATTTATTATGAGCAATTGCCTATTTGTTCATTCCTGTCACCAAGAGAAAGTTTTCTCAAGTCCCATACACTCTAACAATCACACGGTAGCAGATGCACACAAACATGTATTTAATTTTTTCTTTCTGATTGTTATTTCACCCATTACAAAATCTCTGGGAATAAATTTAAGAAACTGAGACTGACTCTGTGAGATTGCTGGCTATACCTGGAGGGTTTGCACTACTGCTAACCTCTGATGCCTGTCCTTTGTGTGTATTCCAGGGTACTGCAGTGTTCTGGTACAATTTGTTTCCCAGTGGGGAGGGAGACTACAGCACCCGACATGCAGCTTGCCCAGTGTTGGTGGGCAACAAGTGGGGTGAGCTCCTCTTTGTCCAGTTCCCAATAAAAACATTTATAAGACTGGAGTCAATATGTCTTATGAGACCACAGTCTTTGCTGAAGAGAATGTTTATTTTTAAAAGCAATTTAACCCAGTGTCATAACTAAGAGTCAGATGTGGTCTTGAGCTTATTGCACAAGAAGGGTAAACATTTGTACTGTGTCTAAATTAATCAAAAGCTTATGTTAAGGATATGATTATTCTTTTTTTATCCTTTTTTTCTGTATTTAGTATCAAACAAATGGATCCATGAACGAGGCCAGGAGTGGCGACGACCTTGTGCCCTAAATGAAACTGAATGATGAAAAAAGAAATCTCCTCATCATGTCCCTGCCCCTCTCTCCCCTTCCTTGTTACCAAAGAACGCTGCTGCGGATCACAGATGATACATATGGAAACACAGAGTCCAAATGGCTCACTCCCTCTCTACAAACACTCCTGTTTTTCTCAGCTGTTATGCTCTGAGCCCAGAGATTGTTTGGGTTAATGTGGAGCCCCTGGACAGTATTAGCATTGCTGTGACTGATAACATGTTCTTAAGATTGTTGTATGGTTTTGAGAAACAAACACTCATGCCCTCTTTCACTCCGAGGTTCTTTCTTTGCACTCTGTATGAACTCTAGCTCTGTGGTGAGGTTATCCTTCAGTAGTCACTATAGGGACCAGCTTCCTCCCTGTCATAAAGGGACAAAGGGATAACCTTAAAAGGACGGGTCACATTTTCACAGGCCTGTCTGATTCATTGAATTTCTTTCATTCCTTTAACAGCACACATGGACCTGTGATTTTTATGAAAATGAAAAGATTTTTTAAACAGTATAAATCAATAAAAATTCACAGTGATTGTAAACCATTTATCTGCAAAATTACATGCTCCACTTCAAAGCAGTGAAGTCATTTTTTCAAACTATTCTGAGGAACGTTTCCTAGCGTATAACTTTGTAATGAACTGGTGTACAATAGGTTCACTGATTTTCTGTCTTAATTTACATGGGGTAGCAATCTCTGCTTCCAATAACTTAGTATTAAAAACCAACATAAGGGCTATGTGGAGGGAATGAAAGGACTCACAGCACATAAGAAAATGGTAAAGAAAAAAAAGGAAAAAAAAAAGAAAGTAAATCTGACCGAAGTCCAGAGTAGTAATTTTGGTGAAAAAAAAATGCTACATCTATGCAGCACATTATCACATATCATACACCTTGTTAGGCTGCCTCGAGGCCATACTGTTTTTTTAATCATTTGAATGGTTACACTATGACATATTTACAGATTTGTTGTACTTGAACACACCATGTGTACAAATGCATGGGCACACTTACACCTGGATGTAGACACAGTTACATACATCCAATATGCTGCATAGAATTTAGTGTTATATTTCACAAACTTTAGTTGGTATTTTGGTCATCCTGATTGTTGCAGTGTTGTGTAAGGACCTAAAACCAATAGAACATGAACATCAGGGAATGGAGGAGTAGACTTGATACACTACATTGTGCCATAATACCTTGTTTTTTATGGAGCGATTGATTCTGGCAGGTTTGTAACAGTGTCCGTGGTGAGCAGTGCTTTTCAGTGTGAGAATATATGGGTTTTTCAAGGAAGAAGCATTTTATTTATATGTCCCAAGCCTATTTTGTGTGTTTTTGTCTTTTATGAAAGTCTGAAATTGTTTTTTTTTCCTACAATAAAGACTGGTTTGTTGATCTCAAGTGAATAAACTGTCCTGCTACAGTTTCTGTGTGGGTGGGTGGGTGTGGGTGATGTGAGTGATAGGGATTTGAGGGGGAAGGTATGAAGGCATCACGTGACTGTCCAGTACTAATGATAACGTCGCTTGTTCATCTGTGGCAACCAGGGCCAGACGTCTGTCAGGTCGGGAGGACAAGGGCAAGCGTGCGAGAGTGAGAAAAGGAAGCAGCAGCAGCTCGGAGAAGAGAAAGTCAGGAAACACCCCTCCTCAGTATTACAGTTAAAGGATAACACGCGTTTGTATTTCGGGGGAACAGAAAGGAACGGCAAAATGATGATGATGACCCAGGTGGAGACCACGGTGCACTATGATAACGGCTACGAGGAGGAATACATGATACAGGAAGATGAGTGGGACCGGGACATGCTGTTGGACCCTGCCTGGGAGCAACAGCAGAGGAAAGTAAGTCAAAGAAAAAACACATAAAAAAATTAAACTGAATTATATTTCAGCTACATTGATGGTTACAGAGGAGAAAACAATGGCAGAGTTGTGACGCGGAATTACATTAGAAGTTAATTATCAAAGTTGGAAAAAGTTTGTTTTGATTATATTTGATATTTCCATATAAATATGGGCCAGTAATTTTCTTATACAGTATCACATAACAGTAACTCTGTTGGGCCTAACGTCAAGCCAGCCATAGCAAAGAGGCAGACTTCCGGTTAACATTGTCATAATAAAAACGTTTTCAGGAGCGTTGAACGGATTAAACATAGCAAATTGATAAAATGTGAGTCCTCCCATAACGGTCATTTTAATAAAACATTTATCTTCTATATTCATATACTATCATTGCATCTGTGTGTCGTCAAAAGGGACAAGAAACACTTTGACTGACCGTTAATAACCGTTAATAACCAACCGTTCTGAGCGTTACTTCCGATGTTGCCAACTCCTCTCGTCAAATCACATGTATTGTTAAAGTAGAAAAACATTCTTCCTGGCACTGACATAGCTTAGAGGAGATTGATATGGATACTGGACTGAATATATTTCATATATTACAGGACGAAGCCAGAGTAGTTCAACGACTACACTGTCTCGAGGAATTAATGGGTCAAAGTTTCTGGTGTAGTTTTATTTTGAAGGACAGCATTACTTAACTTCCGATGTGGGTCTAGTTACTTGCCGCAGACTTGACGCACCCGGGATCCAACCAGGGAGGCTTGACGGACGGATGCGGTGGGTACCAGCTAACAATAGCTCTGCCTTCCAGCGGCTCTACAGACTGATACGCGCGGAATGCGAGCTGTCAACAGATGCTTCTAACACATGATGACGCTCTTGGGATTAGAATGGACGCTACATCTAATTTTAACCTCGGGACCAAAAGGCATTATAGTAGGGTTAATCCAGTGTCCTTGGTGCGGAATTCTTTTGTTTATAGAAACCACGCAGAAATATTGTACCGAGACCAGCTCAACTCAATATAGCATCACCCTCCGGCACTGTCAGTTGGTTTTAGGGCTTTAAAAGTTGGCGTGGGCCTTACACTGCATCTTTTTGCACGACTGGTGGCCATCAGCTCAACGCCCATAACCTCCTGTGGCCCCTGCAGGGATGACAAAACTGTGTATTTTTGGCATCACAAGCCAGCAACACGATAGTCAGGTCCCTGGTCCATATGCACAGCTATTTTTCCAGTGTTTATCTTTTTACTGATTATAATTTGCAGTTGACAAGTGCTCATTGGAGAGTAGTTTGCTTATTCAAGCAGCTGTTCAAAATTATCAGAACTGATAAAGCATCATTGATGGCTGCACACACACATTGGTATAGTGTTTCTTTTTGGCACTGTGGCAGGTGATGAAGTTGCTCTGGGCCCAACCAGCTTATTATGTACCCCTGCTAGAAATGAACATTGAGCAGAAGCGTTGCCATGATATTGTTTGTATCATTAGGGGACACTTTTAGTCACTTTTTTGAAATAATTTCTCTCCAGTAGCTGTAAATCTGTTATCCAGCTCAAGCCATGGTACAGAGGGCTTATTTCAAATCCTACCAGCAGCTGGGGTAGCTTTCCTTCAGTGGATATTAATGTGACTGTGGTTATGTGGACCTTTTTGAATCTATTACCGACTCAGACAGGTTTATCAAGGAGATTGACCAAGCCTTCAGTGCCTGTTTAGTGCACTTCCAGAGGGCTGTGTTACATTAAGTGAAAGTACACAGTGTTCTGGATAAGTAGTGAATATGCTCATGGAAGTTAAATACGAGCCAACATGAACGAAGAGCAAGAAAAACATTATGATCCATTCACAAGGCTCTGTCTTTTCAACATGTTAAACATTCAGTTCTCATGTTTTTCCATCCTCTTGGACACAGCCTGCCAGCCTATGACCTAGTGAGGCCCCACAGGCAGCGATAGGGTTGGTCCTCGCTGGATGTGATTCATAAATATTTTTAGCTTTAATCGTCACTGGTTAGCACTGCTGGAGAGGGAGGTGGGGGGGCTTGGAAAGTGGGCAGCAGGGTTCTGTCATTGTGGCTGAGTCAAATTTGGAGGACCAGCAGGCCACGTTTTTTTAACAAGGAGGGCAGCGGTTCAATGTCACATACACCCCGGGGAAGGCCATTGTGGTCAATGTGATTTTCACTAAAGCCGGTAATATTCTGTTTTTGAACCAGCACCCAGAGGGGAAGCCTGAGTGGCTGGCTGGGCAACCATGTGCAGCCCTACAGGGTGCAAGGATGTGTAAGAATCAGGGTTGGTAAAAGTAAAAGTGCTAAAATATCTTCCTCTACTAATGTCACTTTGCTGAATTTGTATATCAGCCAATAAAACTACAATAAAATTCACTCATGTAAAAGGACCTATTTGTTTTTGTGAAGGTGGAAAGTAAAAGAGCAAAATGTCATCATCAAGTCTAGCATCCACTTAGCTTACATTACAGAACATTGTTTTGTTTTTTCTTTAAAGTTTAGGGGCTGATTTATGAAAGTAGCTGATTTAAATATTTTTTATTGTGTCAGAACATTTTTGACACTGTGGTAGAACAATTTATTGATCCTTGTGGCATATCCTTAACAAGATTTTAAATGTAAACTTTTTAACTATGCTCCCATCCTGCCTGTCTTCACACCTCAGCATAGTAAAGGGTGTGACCAGGAAGATCAGCATACATGTACTGTGATAAAGCTGTCTCCCTGCAGCTGTAACCAATCACGTTAGAAGTGGCAAAATAGTGACAGAGAGTGACGTGAGGGGAAAACTTGCTCTGCATCCACGTGACATTTTCACTCATGTTGTTGACATGGTGAGACGTTTTGACGTTTTTCCTCCCAGTCTCTTATCGTGAGGCACAGCAGAGCAGTCTAAATTTAACACCTTATATCGTTCGGAATGTGCTCTGTGGTCGGCTCCCTGCTTTCATCCGCAAAGCGCTGAGCGCCCGTGAACTCTGCTGCTGGCTATTGAGAGACTTTATAAAAATAGGAGGTGAAAGACAATGAGCCTGTCTTAACTTGATTTACAGTATTTCAGTGCCGCGCATAAAGCACACATTTGTTCTGCTGCTTGTTAGCTGGGAAACTACAGCAGGAAAAAGTGGAAACTTGATACTAAAGGGTCACTGAAGGTTAATCTGAAAATGTAGCACTGGTCAGAGGTTAACATCGATTTGGTATATAGTCCTGAAGTGAAGACCTGCTAAGCTGTTAGCTGCCTCAGTTTGTTTAGGTCTATTGCAGACGGGGATATCATGCTTATAGTTTAATCAATATAATGTAAAGGAGAATTTAAGTGGAGTAAAATTCAAAATTACTTTTAGGACTTCAAACTATGGCCTGTGCTGCATCAGCAGAGCTTCAGAGAAAATGCAGAAAGAACTGCCTTTGTCATGCATTTGTCCCTTTCCTGTTAGACCTTCACAGCCTGGTGCAACTCCCACCTGAGGAAAGCTGGTACTCAAATTGAAAACATTGAGGAAGACTTCAGGAACGGACTAAAGCTCATGCTGCTTCTGGAAGTTATCTCAGGTTAGACCACTAAAGGAAAATGTTTTCAAGGTTTTCTGTCAATGATTTATTCTTTGTGCTACTACACCAGCAGGATGATGTGCACATTTTATCCACTGTTCACTGTAGTTAATTTTCGTGGTTTATTTTGCTTTTAATGTGATATAATTGTATCAGTTAAACCATTTTTTGATAATTGTTTCGCACATATTTATGTTTGCAGGAGAGAGGTTACCCAAGCCAGACAGAGGGAAGATGCGGTTTCATAAGATTGCTAACGTCAACAAAGCACTGGACTTCATCACAAGCAAAGGAGTGAAACTGGTCTCCATTGGAGCTGAAGGTACCCAAAGCCCTCCTGAATCTATGAATATAGTGCACTCCATTAGATGTGGAGTGGAGTGATAATCTGATTTTCTTTTATTCACTCTTGTGCAAACTGATTAGAACGGTTTGTTTGCCTTTCAGAGATTGTGGACGGTAATGTAAAGATGACTCTTGGAATGATCTGGACTATCATCCTCCGCTTCGCCATTCAGGACATTTCTGTGGAAGGTGAGATAATAAGATCCAAAGAATCCAGATCTAGTTAATTTTCTACAGACATTGTGTCAACTGAGTGTAGTCATGGACAACTGCAAAAGGTAAAGGACAATATGTAATGGCGTAAAATGCAAATTTGACAGTGTTAGAGGAAAAAAAACAATCTGTGACTTGTGCAGAATTGCAGCGTGCAATGCAACCACTTCTATGTAACCAATCCCTGTGAGTTCACTCTCTCCACAGAAACATCTGCCAAGGAAGGTCTTCTCCTGTGGTGTCAGAGAAAGACCGCCCCCTACAGGAATGTCAATGTCCAAAACTTCCATGTCAGGTCAGCGATTCACACATTATTAAATGCTGTTTACATGCTTTTTGGTTATAGTGATAGTTTATGTGATTGTAAGTTAAATTAACATTCTCTACCATCTTGTCATATTCCAAGCAAAGGGATGATAAATCTCAGCACATGTTCCAAAATATTCTTTTCATTTCATTTGGGCATTTGGGCAAAATCATTTATTTTAACATATTGCAGTAATGTGGAGTTTGTATAGTGAATAAGTTCATCCGATAGCATAATGTTAGAATTAAGTTAGTCCTGTAGTTGATTTGAACAGTTCAAAATATCAAGACTTAAGTTTGGCATCAGCAAAGTGCTGTTGAACCTCAAATGGTTAATGCCGGACCTGGACTCCAGCAACTTAATCTTTGAGTCAAGTTAATAAGCTTCTTCTGAACTGACATGTTGGTTCTCTCTGCTCATCGGCTGGTGAAGCTGGAAGGATGGCCTGGCCTTCTGTGCCCTGATTCATAGACACAGACCCGACCTCCTCGACTACTCTAAGCTCAACAAGGTGTCGTGTGGTTTCACTTGTAACCAGGTTGCTGTGTTTCAGCCCCAAACACTAACACACTGATTTCCATAAAAAAATAACTTCACTTCTGTCACAGTGTGAACTGATGGAATCAAACACACACTGAAATCACAATAATGGCACTTTGTGGTATAAGGCTGGAGGTGTATGCCATCTTTTTGAATATGATACATTTAGAAATATGTGTCATTTTATAGGACCAGCTCCATATTGTTTATTGTAAATAAACATACAAAATTACTGGAAGCTGTGAAGGAGGCTGTCTATGGGAAGTCCACTTGGTTGTCATAGGCACAAGCTCTGTGCAGTAATGTTTTCTGTGGATAAACAGTGTTTCATTTGGCTAATGGATATAATGATACTTTAATTTATGGATGTGTTTCTACTTCACAGCAGCGTGCATTCATTTACTCTCACCTCATGCTTCATTACTCTTAACTAAAGCAGTTTACTTGATACACAATTTTCAGCATAATTAGCATGAAAAAGACGGTTGCCTCAGTCCATTTTGTCGTGCACCCCACTGCTCCCGTCACAACAGTGGGTTTAATGATGGTGACATGTGACCTCTTGTTTATGACACAGAGTGATAAATATGCAAACCAAGGCTTGACTAGCTTCAGAATATGACAAAAGAATGCGGTTTGACTTTTCTCCTCCATTTCAAAGCCACAACATGTATTGCATATGGGTGTGTGTGTGCATAGTCAGCATTACCCGATCTTTAAGTGTTTCTCAGAGCAAACAAATCCACTGCTCATTTAAATGTTCTGGGTTTAATGGATTTCCAGGACTCTTCAATGTTTGTGTGTGAACAGGTGAGGGCCTCGTTGAGCTGTGCTTCGTATTCACAGAGTTAGAGAGCGCGGCTGACAGCCCTCCCATGTCTGTCAAGAGACAATGATGTACAAGTAATGCAGCCTTTCCCTCCTGGAAGAAGGTGCTGTCTTTGCTAGACAGGAAGGCTGCTCTGTGAATATTTGAGGCTTCACTCTTCCATTGCAAAGTCTGTTTTGGATATAAGACTGCAAGTAATTTTTTTTTTTAAAGTAAAAAACTGACGATAGAGATCTTGCCCATAAGGTTTTATAGTGATTTTATCTACTGAGAGCCTAAAACACATATTGGAGATAAATTGTTTGTGGTCTAAAAACCAGCCAAATGTATTCATGAGAACCTCATGTTCAAATAGGAAAATTTACTTTTACTTTACCTTGGCCCAGTACTGTAAATGTGTAGTAGGGGAACACCATGGCTGGTTTGGGAGAGTGACATTTTCGTTTGTTTTGGAAACAGAAGCGCTCGCTTTTCAGCACACAACTCACTGGCCTGACTTGGAGTTGACCCTGAATAGTCACAGAAACATGAGCCTAGTCCCTGCAGAGCTCAGGCTTAGCTTTTCCTCTGCTATTGTCCACATTATCACATAGTGTTCCCCAGTTAGAGGCTGCCGGCCCTCATAAAAGTCTATGAGATGGTTACTGTGGTATTTCTTAGTCAAATTTCAAGTATCACTATAAGGATGGTGTATATTTCCATCATTAGGAAAGGCTATTCAAGCTAAATATGGGTGATGAGGCACACACACAGGGTACCATATCTATTTCTCTCTACTGCTTTTCTCTCATTTTTTTCCCCTCGTCTTTTTGACGTACATATTCACCCAGTCAGTCACACCTCAGCTTCTCAGTTCTGCTCACACTGCCAGGAGACAGTTTCATTGTGTGCCAGGCAGCTGTTGTGTCTGGCTCCAGGTGAGTGTGTTAGTTAAGCTTGCAGTGGTACAGCCTGCTGAACCAGCTCTGGTCAGGGGCACATACACACACACACACACACACACACACACACAACACACACACACACACACACACACACACAAAGGCCTTGGGGTATCCTTCTATCCATCCATCCCTCCATCCTTCCATCCATCCCACCACCAATTTACTACCCTATCCATCCATCTGTCTGTCTGTCTGTCTGTCTTGCACTGGATCTGTGAGCAGCTGGCCCTGTCATGTAGTGNCACAGTGCCACAGACACACACACACACACACACACACACACACACACACACAAAGGCCTTGGGGTATCCTTCTATCCATCCATCCCTCCATCCTTCCATCCATCCCACCACCAATTTACTACCCTATCCATCCATCTGTCTGTCTGTCTGTCTGTCTTGCACTGGATCTGTGAGCAGCTGGCCCTGTCATGTAGTGTGTCACCCCCTTCCTTTATGGAACAGTGTTACAGAGATAGGGACAATAGCAGCAGCATGATAGCATGATCCCTTTACCCCATTGCACTCTCACTGACTGTTCCATCAGCAGGGGAGGGTTCACTGTCAGCTGTTAGCTTAATGCACCACTCCCACACTTGGTTTGTCCTGTCAGTCACTTGTGAGAGAAAAGAAAATAACGCTGTATACTGTAGTGAGTAATATATTAGTTGATTTTATTTCCTTGCTGAGTAATGTATGATAGTTTATCTTAATAGTTTAGTGGTTCAAGTCATTTATAAAATATGGTGGCAGATTCATAAATTTGAAGATTCACTTGCTTTTGTCGTCATTAGGAAGACCCTCCTTTGACATGTCAGACCCACGGATCAATTACTTAATTGAATAAAAGAATCAGTAATAGTAATAATCATGAGGTGCAGTCTGTAGTTGATCCTTCAGTTACAGACTGAAAGATCAACTACAACCATAGTTGTCAGATAAAAGCAAAACATGAACAAAAATTGATAAGTGAAAATTATAACAAGTGACTTTCTCATGGAGAGTTGATGATTTCATGCAACTGATCAAACTGCAATAATTATCACATGAAAGACCTTATGAGCATCCAGCTCATGAGAGAAATAAAAAAAAGTCTATTCTAAGTTTTGTGTAGAAGCTATATCAAATATAAATTTAAAAACAAGTGCTATTAAATTAATGTGCATGTACAGTCGATGATGAGCGAGTTATAATGTGTCCACCATAGCATGGAGGTCAGCGCAGTGGCATTTTAAGTCCGGCATTGCTGTACAGTGATGTAGAATTGTGTTTCTTTATTTAGGATGATCCTCTGGGGAACCTGAACCTGGCTTTTGACATAGCTGAGAAACACCTGGACATTCCCAAAATGCTGGACGCTGAAGGTAATATTTTATGGAACAAATGCCAAATACGAGTTTTTGAATTAAAATGTTTAACTTTCTCAAATACTGTTCTTTGAAATATGTGTTTACAGTATAATTGTTTCTGTATGTGTTAAAATGTTTTCTCTGTCGGAGGTTTACTTTTGCACAGGTCTCCTTCACAGAGATGTAACCAGGGAGCGCACGTGTTTCATTTTTGATATTTTTCATATATAGATATACTTCTATACATTAATTATACATCAGAAACCATAATTAATTAAAATTACCCTCAAAGTAGACAGTGGATGTATTTTATCTTCTTCTATTCTCCAGAGTAATTTTACACTTATTTTTCACTTTTTTTTCCCCCTTTCTCCCACTTTGACTTTTTCTCCCTCTCAATGCCATAGATATCATCAACACCCCCAAGCCTGATGAAAGAGCTATCATGACCTATGTGTCCTGCTTTTACCATGCTTTTGCTGGAGCTGAGCAGGTATAGTCCCCGTACCAATTAGTATTTTCAGATGAGTCAGCACAGTCCAGTCCATTTGTATTTTGAGAACAGAGTCAGGTGCAGAACTCTATTGCCAGTTTAATTTTGACGTGTCTTTCTGATCAAAAAAAAGTATTGCGAGAATAATATTATTTAGGTATATTGGAAGGATGAATGGGAGTGTAGCCTGCCGTGCTACTTTGCTGATGTAATTACATTATTCTCGTGCCCTGTGCTCTCAGGCAGAGACGGCTGCCAACAGGATCTGTAAGGTGCTCGGTGTAAACCAGGAGAATGAGAAACTGATGGAGGAGTATGAGAGACTGGCCAGTGAGGTAAAGTAAGATTTGAAATTTCATTAAAAGAAATATCCTCTTGTATGATGATGACACGTTGTGAAATGAAACCGTTGACTTTTCAAAGCGAAACTAAACTTTATCTGGCCTACACGGAACAAGTACAGACTTAAGTTTAGATTAGAAAATCTTTCTTTCCCACACTAATGAATCCCATTTCTGTGATAAGCTGAGACCCATCTGTTGAAAAACTGAATAATTCATCAGTCTTCCTGACATACTACTATCTTAACATGGAGCTCTCGTTCCTCTCAGCTTATTCCCATGTTGTCCTTGTGTTTCCCAGTTGCTGGAGTGGATCCGCCGCACTACTCCCTGGCTGGAGAACCGGACCCCAGAGAAGACCATGGCAGAGATGCAGCGGAAGCTGGAGGATTTCAGAGACTACAGACGCCAGCACAAGCCCCCTAAGGTGCAGGAGAAGTGCCAGCTGGAAATTAACTTCAACACCCTGCAGACCAAGTTACGCATCAGCAATCGCCCTGCCTATATGCCCTCTGAGGGGAAGATGGTATCTGTAAGTTACGACTCCAGTACTTCCTCCGTTTATAATTCAACAGTTGAAGAAGTGTTTGTGATTGTGTGCACCACTATTAATGTGTCTTATATCACATTCTGCCACATTAGTCTCATGGCAAATACTTTAGAAGTTCAATCTTACACAGGACTAAGGAGTAACAGGCACTGACATAGTACCAATAGATGATAGGTCATTTGTTTTGCACTTTTTTTGCAACTTCAACTAATATTTATTGATCAGTTTTTCGAATTTGCTGGGGTGAAATCAATTCTAAACTTCTTAAGTAAGTTAATTTAAACTGTGATTTTTCAATTTAATTTTGTTTACAGGACATAGCCAGTGCGTGGCAGGGCCTGGAGCAGGCAGAGAAAGGGTACGAGGAGTGGCTCCTCACAGAGATCCGTCGGCTCGAGAGGCTGGACCACCTGGCAGAAAAGTTTCGCCAAAAAGCCACCAATCATGAGAACTGGGCCAGCGGTCAGTTGTAGTTGTGCAATTAGCTTTTAAACGGTCTGGATGTTTGTTTTTATATCTGTCACTCACTGCTATGTCACTAGATCTGCATGTTTATCTGTTTATCTTGACATATTAGCTCCTTGTTTATCTAAAGGCATCTGTATTCCTGCCTCTCGGCCTGCTTTTCAGTCTTCAAGTGTTTCATTTAACCTTGGGTTTTGTTTAGACTTGTTCCTAATGAGATTTGATTGAGGGTTTTAGTCTGTCCAATACAATCAGCCTATAGTGGACTGTAAAAGGTCATTTTCTCCATCTGCAATGGCCAGATAAGGCCTTTGTTTAGACCTAACCTATTAATTATCTTGTTGTTCGTTTCTCTTACCTCATCCTTTCATCTATTTGCTTATTTGTGACATTCAGGTAAGGAACTGATCCTTTCCCAGAAGGACTATGAAACAGCCACCCTGACAGAAATCAGAGCATTGCTTCGAAAACACGAGGCCTTTGAGAGTGACTTGGCAGCCCACCAGGACAGAGTGGAGCAGATTGCCGCCATTGCACAGGAACTAAAGTACGTACTCCCTATAGCAGATGTTTGCAGTCATGTGTCATGGAGGCCCAGGAGTATGTTTTCACTCCTGCCAAACATAGCATTTGGGGGTGGTGGTGGTCTTGTTTTCTGTTTCTCTTCTGTAAATATTATTCTAAAAGCCTTTTATTCTCATAGCAATAGCACTGCACTCACGTGGAATATGCAGTAGTTCAGTGATCCCATAAACATTCACTCTCTTTATTCACATTTGAGACAGTGGAAGAACAAAATTGGAACAATATGACATCACTATCTCTAAACTGTCTTTTACATGTCAGATGATTTTGAACCACTTTGTGGAAAAAGTGGTCGTGAGACTTACTTAAACCCTCTTCTTCTTAGCCTGCTCTTGCCTGTCACTAAAGTGTGTCTCAATGCAAGGATACAAGGGTGAAGGGTGTGGTTCACCGGCATGCTCACAATTTCAATCAGCAGTCAATGATGACGCACCTGTCCATCGTTACCTTCTCGGCCTGGGATTGGCCACAGAGTATTTCCTGTTTCATATTTAACCAGTGCTCTGAGAGAGGAAGATATCATTTCAGCTGACAAGCAAAATGGCTGTGTGGTTTCCTACAAGGTATGTGGCAGTTAAAACTATGTTTGTGTGTTCATTTTCTATTTGTGGGTTGTTTATTTTACTCAAGTTTTTGACCATGCTGTTTTCTTTTACAGTCAGTTGCTCCTCATTGCACTGTTAAGTTGGAATGTCCATTGCTTCCCTGCTAAAAAAGGTAAAGACTCCAACTTCACTGTAAATGTGCTAAGATGCTTACAAACTTGAGTGACTTTCAAATGTTATCACACTCTGTTGGGTCATTAAATTTAACCAAAACATTTTTTATTTTTCTGCTAGGCTGGAGCCAGCCTAATCTCTATGAGGGCAGTTTCTCTAACCAGGATATTCCTGCTGGCCTCCATTATCGCTCATCCCAAGCTGCTCCTATTCAGCCTTCCTATGTGAATCATCCTGCTGTCTCATTCCTCCATGAACCAGTAGATGCGAGAACGTATTCTAGCCCGAAAACCTACCCAGCAAGCTCTGGTCCTACTACACTCTCGTCCAGTGAGGCTTCATGGAATGCGGCTCCTGCTTGGGACCCTGTGGCAGAGTCCACAACTGCTCGTGGTGTGTCTAGAACATCTCAGCCCAGACCCGACATTGGCCTTCCTCCTCCACCTTTTTTTCAGGCAGGTGAGCTTGAGCACTATGAAGAGAACTTTGAGCATGGTAATACGGAAAGGGAAACTGAGGAGCTAAACTTTGTGCCCCCACCACCCCCTCCATATCCTGCCCCTGACTATAAATCCATCTCTAACCATGGAACTGGAGAGGGGAAACCAGGACTTGGTTTGATGGGTCTCCCTCCCTTTGAGCTGACGAGTCTTCCCAAGCCTGACAGCCACTTGCAACCAGTAGCAGTGAGCCCAGTCGGACCAAGCCAGTACTACCTCTTCTTGACGGGTCAACTTCCTCCTGGCACTTATTCGAACTACCAGGCAGACTATGAAACTGGAAGAGACCACTGGGATGAAGTCCATTATGAGAGATACCACTTCCCTGATGCTCAAAGTCCAGTCATCTCAACTCAGACCCAGGAGGTTCCCAGTTATAGAAGACTCTCAAGTCCTAAACAAGCCTGAAGGTCTTCAAACAACAAAGCTGAGGAAAATGGCAGCTCTAGTAGCTCCTTCAGTTAACTTGTGTATTTGACATCTGTGTTCAAGTTTGAAATAAAATGTAACATGCTAAATTAACCTTTTTGTTCTCTTCTCTGTGGGTTGGTTAGTCTTGGCTTAAGTTTGCCCATGGTTTCAAAATATTCAACTGCAGGGGAAGCTTCAGGTTAAAGATTTGACAAGCTCAAATCCAGTCTGCATCACAGGCTCTGAATTAGTCTTAGCTGTTCAAGAGACTAGTGAGACTAAATGTAATTGAACTTCCAATGGTCATGGAAAGAAATGCAGCACATGCCCCTGGTAAACTGTTTAGCAGCACCCATGAGCTGGTTGCTTGTCTAAAGGTGTGTGTGGGGGGGTGGTCCCCCCCCCCCCCCCCCCCCCCCCCCCAAATTCAACTTAAGCCAACTTGCCTATGTAGCTGCATTTGCACATGTTAACTTCTCAGTGTTGACTGCAGATTTCTTTTAATTTTAGCAGTTTCTTTTCAATCTTGCATAGTCAGGCTTTTATAGTTAACATTGACTCACATTTACCAAAATGGCTGTCTAACTTTATTCTGTTGCTGGATTTCATTCTCTATCCAGTGGGTTTGTTTGGGGGGGGACTCAAATACCTGGGCAGGAAATTGGGCTGTAAAGCTTTCCCACAACTGAAACAAACACCAGGACATGCTTTTGTTTTTTCAGTGAGCTGGACTACCATGATGTGGCTGCTGTGAACCAGCGTTGCCAGAGCATCTGTGACTTGTGGGACAAGCTGGGAACCCTGACTCAGAAGAGGAGAGAGGCACTGGAGGTATGGGCAACATTCAAGGTTGTCTGTGGTTATATATTGGAATGTTTGACTGAAAGCAGATGAATGACATTCATATCCATTTGACCAGCTTAGTGGGTTTTTTTTTTGTTTTTTTTTTTTTCATATTGGCTGTTAAATTCCTAAAACTTGAAGGATTCATTTTTCATGTTAGGATAGGTTGGTAAGTCCCCACAAGAGTGCGCTAATGTTCCACATTGACCACAATAGAGTCAGAATTAAAGCTGCATCCGCAACCACTTTAAGCAAAATGTCAGTGTAAGCATGTTTAGGTGTCTGTCATTGACATCTGAAGAGTGAAATGACACAACTGATTGATGAGGAGAGATAATTGGATCCCCTCTAAAATCCCTGACCCACATAGGAGGGTAAAATTGGAGTGTGGAGGGGGGATAAAGGAGAAATAGATGTAAGAGTCCTGTCCAGGGAAAGGACTGGCTTAAAGCCCACAGGCCACTTCCTCTGATCCATGCTGGCCATTTCAGACCTGCAAATGTGTGAGGGCCTGGGAAAAGGGCCAAGGATTAAGTCTGAATGACAGGGACAGGGGTCTGTTTTCTGTCTGTCTCCTGCTCCCCACCATCCTCTGCTGAGGGGTGGGAGTCTGTCAGCGACAACCAAGCTGAAGTTGGGGGTTAACAAGGCCATATCAATGTTATTCACCCTGGGATTACTCATCAAAACAGTGAGGGAAGGTTTTTTTTTTGGGATTTGTATGTGAGATATGAAGTTGATGACTCCTCCTCAGTTCAGGTATGTGTCTAATGCTGAGCTATAGGTTGGATATTGGTCAGTTCTTCAGGATTTGAAAACCTACAGAAAATGCATGTTATGTCTTGTAATCCTTTCAGCGGACTGAGAAGCTGCTGGAGACTATTGATCAGCTGTTCCTGGAGTTTGCCAAGAGGTCGGCTCCTTTTAACAACTGGATGGAAGGAGCCATGGAGGATCTGCAGGACATGTTCATTGTGCATACCATTGAAGAAGTCCAGGTAGGCATACAGTTCTCACAGCACAGTAGACTCGGACTCAGTGTGTGAGATTGTAGTTGCATTTTACAGTATTTGGGTGTTTACTGTTAAGACAGCAGACTGTTGACTTCATTATAAATATCTATGAGGTGTTTAATGTCGTATAATGCATAATGTTGGTAGATCTGGCCAACCTGCAAGAAACATAATATTATTAATGCTCTTATTAACACTCTTAAATGTCATGGCTTCCTTTTTCCCCTGCCAGAGTCTAATCGCAGCTCATGAGCAGTTCAAAGCTACTCTACCTGAGGCAGATGCAGAGAGACAGGCCATCTTGGGAATCCACAACGAGGTGCAGAAAATTTCCCAGAGCTACGGGATCAAGGCCAACATTATCAACCCTTACAGCACCATTACAACTGAGGAGCTTCTCAACAAGTGGGAAAAGGTAGCTACGGCTTTAAAACTCACATCATACAGACTGTTGTATCAAGGAATAGAGTCATTACGCTGATAGTGGCTGTCTGGCCATATAAAAGCAGTCATTATGAAATATGAGCAAGAAGAGCAGTGTCTATACTCTACTGATAAAGTAAAGGAGAAGTACTGCTCTAATGTTTTATCAGTGAGTTGAAGGACTCGGCACCCAGTAAGGACCTGAAGCATATAATCCAAATATATCAGCATAATTCTGTTTAATGTTAACGGCTCCTTTCAGGAGGAGCCAGCTTCCCACAATACCATGTAAGGCCTCTGTTGAGTACATGTGTGTGTTTTCTAGGTGAAGAAGCTGGTCCCTCAGAGGGATGGTGCCCTCCAGGAGGAGATGGCACGCCAGCATGCCCACGAAAGGCTGAGACGGCAGTTTGCTGCCCAGGCTAATCTCATTGGTCCCTGGATACAGGCCAGGATGGAGGTTAGACATACAGGCTTCATAAGCAATTTGACAGTTATCTCTGTCTAATCAAATAAAGACCTAAAATGGAAAATAATTCTATTCAAATCCACTGTGCATAAGGGAAGTACAATGATGGTGACTTTCCTGATAATGATGTTGATAATGAAATAATGCCAAGTAAAATGAGCGAATATTATTATACACATACAATTTTTCTTTATCAAATGATATAGGTCCTGACAGAATTTAGTCTTAGCCACAGGTAAATGACTTCCTGCAGTATCTGTAACAAAACCATTAGATCTTTAGACCAGCATCTTATGATCTAAATTGGTCCAAAAATTAAGTTGACCTTGTTGCATGTCTTACCCTAACAGGAAATTGGGCGCTGCTCCATGGACATAGGAGGCACCCTGGAGGACCAGATGACCCAGCTGAAGCAATGTGAGCACGTCATTGTCGCTTACAAACCCAACGTCGACAAGTTGGAGGGAGACCACCAGCTAATCCAAGAGTCCCTGGTGTTTGATAACAAACACACCAACTACACTATGGAGGTACATGGCAGTGGCAAACAGTGTTACAAATATATGCATACATGGGTAGACACAAACAGTAGGTGCATGTACAGTTAGTATTTGCAAACACTCAACACATACAGACACATTCACTGCAGCTCTGCATGGATACTGAAATTCACAAATATGTAAATACGTATACAAACATACATTTACCGTAGATATCATTATTCATTAAACTGGTCAACGTGTGTCTTCTCTGTTTGAACATGTCTGCTCTGTACCACATCAACAGCACATCCGTGTCGGGTGGGAGCTGCTCCTCACAACCATCGCCCGAACCATCAATGAGATCGAGACCCAGATCCTGACCCGAGATGCCAAGGGCATCAGCCAGCAGCAGATGAATGAGTTCAGATCCTCTTTCACCCACTTTGACCGGGTACGGCTCTCTACCATTTCACATGGTGACATTGTCCATTTGAGTGACTGACCTAAAGCAATCTGAGCGATTCAGAGACAGAGCAGGGGGTAGCCACGTATTTATAGATAGTCCTATAACTCTGAGCACGGTGACCCAAACGTCCTCCATGGTGTTTGTTTGCGTGCAAGAGGCTGAATTCTTGCCAGGCCCAGGAGCAGCATTCAGCATCTGACCCTATATTTGACTTAAAGTGATGGGGGAGAGGGTAGATGACAGAACATTTCTCCCTTGGCTATTACAAATTGCCACGAATATCCATTATACACAGTCATCACTATTGTACTGTGGAATGTTAAGTCATATTTAGGTATATTTTATGCATTTTTGAGCAAGATCCTTGCAGTTTTGATGGAAGTGTAACAACTGATGACTTATCTAAGTATGCTGTTTCATTTATTCAGGCGACATCTGTAGGAATTTCACAGACTGTCTCACCATGCCAGTGTAACAGCGTGGATAATACACCAAACAAATAGAAATTGCAGCACAAAATTGGCAAACTATTGCTGAGTAGCGATGTCCCAGATAAGAAACATTTTGTCTGTGTATACAGCCTCCATGTGTACAGATGTGCTGTCTGCATGCAAGCATATGAGCAATGTTACAATTACTTCTTCACTGAGTTTTTAAGTTCTCATTTATCATGGAATTTTCCCAATCTTCAGTGCCTTATCACAAAAGCCAAGAGCTTATGTGCTTAAAGTTGAAAGCATTCCTCCTCTGTGATATTTATTATTATGCAGAACATCTATCTGTCAGTGTCAAATTTGGAAAAGGTTAAAGACTGTGCATGTTGAATACAACTTTTTCATTTAGTTTTACAATATTGCTCTGTTTTGCTTCATTTTCTGTGATCTCCCCTTGACTCTACTTTCCTCTTTGTTTCCTGTGTTGTGAACCTGACATTTGGCCTCCAACTGTAGAAAAAGAACGGAGCGATGGACACTGATGACTTCAGAGCTTGCCTCATCTCTATGGGATACGACTTGGTAAGGTGTTTCAACTGTGGGTGGTCGGATGGGGCTATGTTATCATTTGCTTCTGTTTGCTGTATTCTACATATATACTGTTCATTCTCTTCACATTCTCCATCCATGCCTTTCTCAGGGAGAGGTGGAGTTCGCCCGTATAATGATGCTGGTGGACCCCAATACTACTGGAGTTGTCTCCTTCCAGTCTTTCATTGACTTTATGACCAGAGAGACAGCTGATACAGACACTGCCGAGCAGGTTGTGGCATCCTTCCGGATCCTGGCAGCTGATAAGGTATGTGCGTGTGTTTGTGTTAGCGTGGCTTACCGGCACATGGGCAGATATTCTTAGCCAACACTAATCTATTCTATTCCAGTCATTATTTCCAAGAATTTGCCATGCCAAGATGATTTATGATCTACCATTTTGTTCATGAGCTATAAATAGAAAGTTGGTATTAGCGTGAATCTTCCTGTAAAACATGCCTGAAACACATCCCCTTTCCACCACCACAGCCCTACATACTAGTGGAGGAGCTAAGGAGAGAGCTTCCTCCAGAACAAGCAGAGTATTGCATCATGAGGATGCCGCCTTACGCCGGCCAAGGAGCACCACCAGGGGCACTGGACTACACCGCCTTCTCCACCGCGCTCTATGGAGAGAGCGACCTTTAACCCAACTAGAAAACCTTTAAACTACTGACCGTTTACCTAACCACCCCCTCCATGCCTCCCCTCTATCTCTTGATGAATTTAAGGAATCTATAAAAAAGTTGGATCAAATATGTTGAATGAAATGTGTTTGTGACCATAACGAGTTTTTGCTGATTAGTTTTCTGACGCATCCGATTGTCTACAAGCTTGCCGAGCATTGTCATGTGTCTCGGTGCTCTTCTTATGTCCTCTTGGATAAAACACGCCCCCTAAACCAATAGAAACTGCCATGTTCAAATTATATTTTGAGAAACAATGCATTGTACATTTTACCGTGTGTGTTTTGGTATTTGCGCAGAAAGTAGAGTTCTGTGATTAAGGTGAAACTAAATTTGCACCACCAAAAATGCAGATCACTTGGTAATGCTCATACAGCAACAGGATCATGGCTTTTCAGTAGTTTATCATTTGAAGAAATGAGACATAAAAATCCTGTTTCATCTAGCCCCGTCATGTATTGTTTTCATATTTCCGCACAGTGCCTTTGTTTTGGGAATGCAATCTCCTGATAAGGCATTTTGAGATACTTAAAGTGCATTACAGTTTGTAAAAGCAATTTCAAACCTACTGCGATCCAACAATAAACACAGTGGGAAATGGGTTCCCAAAGGGCTAAAAATACATAGCACTAACAGAGGAAAAGTGGGAAACCACATGAATACAAAAGTAAATGTTTACAATTGTTCAGTGCAGAAAACACAGGAGACTAAATGTGCAGTTTTCATGAGTAACATGTTTTAAGATAAAACATTTTCTCTGGCAGCAGCAAACATGTTAACGGTTACATGTGCCTAGAAAATACTACAATAAATACACAAAAATAAATACACAAATAAGTGTCGTGTGATTTCCCAATTTTCCTTAGTTGACACATTTTAAGGCCTATTGTTAGTAGAAATATACATCAATTTATCCACTTTTGTCCATATTAAAAGCTGTTTGGAAACATGTTACCTTTCACTGTACTCATGTTGTATGCTGTTTGAGAATAAAAATTAAGAAATTGTAGTTAAATACTACTATAATATAAATGTCATTCATACAGCAAATAGACCTGACTTGATACTAACTCTATGCTAATAACATTCTGCTACAACAATCTCTATGTAATGCTCTGAATGAATTAAAATGATAGCATTCTGTGTTTGTGATTTCACACTCATGTAAGCGAGCTGAAGTATTGTGGAAGTGATCAAAATAATGAAATTTACCATTTCACACAAACTGAACCTAAGGCTCTATATTATATTTAGATGCAAGCAATGCCCTTTAAAAGAAAAGTTTATTTTGTTCTGTAACTGATGAACATTGCTTCAGAAACTACTGAGCTCTGTAGGTCCAAGAGGTGTTCTCATTTTTGGTGAAGAATTTGTTATATTTTGGCAGGAAAATAAAGATACTCAGGCTGTACTGACACCTTGAAGAAAATTACTTTCTCTGTTATGAACAAATTCAGTCAATTGAACTTTGTACCTGAGAGAAATGGATTAATTAAATAAACTGTTTGTGCTTAATTCAAACATTTATTTCAACTTGATAAATCAATGCTTGTACTATGTCTTTCATTTGCAATTTCCCACCACATTGCAAAATGTTTTACAGCCATAATTTACATTTAAACAAAAGCCTTGTCCCCCAAATTCACAAGACTGGACCCTGCAGTCTAAATGAAAGACTTGTTTACATTAGTGGTTGCAAAAATAACATGAGGCCTGTATTTTCATTTATGATCATGTATCTATATGCCAAATTCCTATCTGTATGACATTATAATTAACATCCACATGGTAAAAAGATTACAGTTGTGGGCTTGAACAGGTGCCAGTTCAATAAAACAGTAGAGACTCTGACTTGGAGAAGATACCAATGAAATGGATTGAGTAAGATATATTTATATAGTGCCAGGGGAGTTGAATTTTAAGTATAGTTTTACAATAAGAAGTACTTCAATATGCTGGACCATGAGAGCAAAGCTAACTTAATCAAAAATATAGATTTCAATTTTTTTTTTGTCAAAGTAGAAAAGCGATATCTGCAATGTCATCATTAGAGGATGAAACTATTCCTTTGCCCTATCATATGAAATTGTTCGATGGAAAGAACAATGCGATGCAGTGTAGCTTTCCATAAAGCATTGGCTCTCAGGCTTAAACATATAGAATTTAATCCTAGGATGGCATTGCAGAACAGAGCAATGAATCAGAAAAACCCAAAAAGCTTCTCTCTTTGAGGGGAATAAATATGGTCAACAAATGTTGAGGCAATCAATCTATTACATTGTCTTTGTGGAAGTGGATTTCTGGTGCTGGATTTTTTGTGGTGTTATAGAAGAAAGGTCATGGACCCAAAGTGTGCAGGGTTTCTCTGGGGAAAATCAAGGTACTTTATTCTAGAAAATGTAAGAGGGTCAGACAGGGGGTCATCAATTACTTGCATTCATCTCCTATCCAAAGCAAGTTTCATGGAAATCCATCTGTTAGTTTACCAGATACAGAAAGGACTAAAGCATTAGTCAAATGAAAATCGACCTGAATGTAGTCTCTGGAGGCAGGATTGCTGGAGTCATTAATATAAGATATTCAAGATATTTCCTGTAATTTGGTTGTGATTATGGGGGAAATTGAGACATTTGGTACATTTCCAATATAGACGATTTCTAATGTAAGCCAGGGAGGCTTTTAGTAACAGCAGGTCAGTGAGCTCTCTCTACCAATAAACATACATCTCAAAACATAAATGAAGACTAACGTCAATTAATAAAGTTTGAATGGAGAAGTTTTTTTTTTTTTTTTAAAGGACTTTCCAATTTTACTGTATAATCACAATTACAAACCCATAAAATATAATTTAAATTTGTAAAAATGTAGCATTCATTTCTATTTTTTGAACCTGTCACTTTTGTGAAAAGGTGTTAGACATTTTAGTTAAACCCTTAACACTGTTTAGAACCCACTTTCAAATTTGTAAAATTTATCTTATCCATTAAAACAAGAAAGGGTGATTTCATTGCCTTTTTTCTGGATCAGGTCCAGACGTAAACCACTACAGTAAAACTGGACTACAAGCTAAAGAATCTTTAAAACACGATTTCAGGTTTGTGAAACCATTATTTCATTTGAGAAAACCCAAAAAAGGAGATTTCACTTTTTTTTTTAAATCCACTTTTTTGTGGATTTACATTGTAAATCCGCAAGAACTGGCTTGGAATTGTGGATCTCAATTCTACACGAGATCCACAAATGCTTTTTTGCTTCACAAATTGAAAATTGATTCACAAATGCCTGTTTAACACACAAATGCTTTTCATTTATTTGTATATTAATTGACTGTATTCACTATGTTTTAATTTGTGTAATTTGTTTGTGTATCTGCAGATCCGTTTTATATTTGCAAGTCATTTTTATTAGTTTACAAATTTATACTTTTCACATGTGGAAGGTGTTTTGTATCTAAAAATGATACATTTACACGCTGACTGTCAATCAATATGGAGACAAATCCATCGCCAAAGGGTTGACAAATGGGTTCAAAATATTTTTTTGTCAAGAAGAGTCTTTGTGGACCGGATATCGTCAGAACAGCACTAGGTGCTATAACTGACAAGATGCTCAGGGAGTTTCTAACATCGCCAATTAATAACCTAGAAAAGAGAAGTTGGTGTAACAGATACATGTACCGGTGAGGGCCACTGCTCAGTGTAATCGCGCCCCAAAATAATGGATCCAAATTCAACCCTATACCCCCTCGAGTCGCCCCTGCTGGCCATTAGAAAGGAAGCAAATATAAGGCACTTCCGCATTGGCTTCACTTTTCAAACCCGGCGTCAACGTCCATTTTTATGTTCAGCAGTCTATGCCCCAATCCCAATGTCCAGCCTCACGGAGTTGGAGGCACGTTCCCGGTAAATTCGTGAGGGTTTAGGACCGTCCGGCTGTGAAACCATCGAGGGCATGAGGGCTCTCAAGCAGACATTTTGAGCCCTTTATGCACACTTTCCGTAAATCCGGATTTCTGCAGACTTTGCCTGAGGGAATTAGCCAAATTTCCCAGCGTTGTGACATTAAGCACGGTACCATGCTTATCAGAGACGCCTGGAAGCTTAAAAAACGGCAAACACCGGCCATGAAACGCAAGAAATAATAAGAGAAGAAGAACAGTTAACAAACAAGCAAAAAGCAACGAAGCCTAACCCTATAAACAGAGCTCACTGGTGATTCAGAGCCACAACTGTGAAGTTATTTGTTTTATCACGACGTGATGATTAATTCAGATCTGATTCAACATTATTATTATTTTGTTTACAAGTAGGGAGCGAAGGGAGGGAATAAAAATGTACAATCAAAAGTCCCAAACCCGCAAGTGAATGCAAATGTTTGGCGTCATAAAGGTAACGTGACGTAAGTGCTGTTCCATTCCTCTTGATACCATTTTGACCCCTTGCAGCCTCTCGCACTCAATCACTCACCAGGTGACGTCAATTAAGTCTGAGGGTTCAGAGCTCAGGGTTTAGGGGGGACATTGGGATTGGGCCTATGGCTGCTACACATTAATTTCAACAGTAGATGTCGCTAGTTAGTCGTGTTAAATGAAGCTTCGAGGATTAAAGCTTCTGGCGAACCAATGGCCTGGAAAGTGTCACTGCTCCGGGAAGCGTCATTTGGCCTAAACCAGGGACAGTTGAGTATATTTGCCTAAACTACCACCAACGTCTGTCTAATGTAGCTAGTTTGGTCCAAATAATGACTGACACTGGAGAGGGCGACGACGAATTCCAGTTTCTACGAACGGTGAGTAAGACACTTTTTCAAACTAGCAATAAATATTAAGATAAATTATATGTGTGTATATATATAGGTCAACCGAGAAAAAAAGTTTTTCTAGCTAAGGTGACTTAATTAGTGACTGCTAACTTAGTTCTAGGTCTTTGAAAAGGAGCCAGTGAGTCAATATTGGTGGTGGAACTCAGACTCAAAAGTACTAACACCACCATGTAAAAATAGTCCATCTCATGCAAAGGTTCTGTATTAAAAATGTTACTGAAGTGAAAATATACAAAATGTACTTAAAGCAGTAAAAGTAAAAGTAGCCCATTGTGATGATTGTACATTATATCATTAGATTAATGCGATCATGCATTCATTTGTGAGTAGTTTGTATTTGTATTTTAGTGTAGTTGGTGGGGGTGCAGCTCATTTGACAACTGTTTTATATAAGATTACAGCTAATGATTATCTTTTTTATGGATTAATCTCCTGACTCTTTAGCTGATTGATGATTTGGTTTGTAAAAATTCAGAAAATAGTGAGAAATGCCCATCACAATTAGCGCCCAAAGTGAAACATTCACAATGCTTATTTTGCCCAGTACAAGTACCTCAGAAGTGCACTGAAGTACTTTAGTTAATTAAACGTAGTTAGTTCCTTCCCACCACTGATAGTGTGTCAGGATACAAAATGTGTCAAACTCCATGTTTGCTACATCTTTACTTATTGAAATCTAACTCTGACTACGTTTTTTCCACAATATTTTTTTCCATAATTCTTTCAGCTCAGTTTTGATATTGCCTGCAAGCATGGGTCTATGAAAATCAAGTGTGACCATTTGATGCACAACCAAGGCTGTCAATTGAAAGTTGTTAATTTCATTTACTACAGTAACATTTCATTTATGTGTGCTTTACTTTTTTAGCGCACATCTCCCAGCAGAATTTTCGCTGTCTTCATCACACAGTTTTTTTTTGGTTCACTGACAGTTAAGGAAAACCACAAATGTTTTTTTTTTATCTTCACTGCGAGATGATATCATTGTTCCCCAGTTGTAAGTTGTCCTCTCACAGCTTGTTATCTTTGCCCTCTGATAAGGGCATGTCACAGGGAGAGTGTCTGGTGTGGATACGAGACACATACACATACTTCCACAGGCAGATGGTGTCTCTGAATCTAGTACCCAGGGTGATGTCATTTTGCAAGATCGATCCACAATACAAAATTACACTGTGGAAATCTGTGTCACACATTATTACATTAAATGCAGGGTTTCCCCCAGGAAATTGTTCATCTGAGGCGGGAAGCCACCTGATCATGACGAATCTTGTCTCATGATCAATTCAGTTAGTAGATGACAAGAGAAACATAATGGCCGCACAGATTAAATATATACAGCATTAGTGAAAAAGGCAGTGAAGGTTAATGTTTTATATCATAAAAGTGTATTCCATTTTTATGATAGTAGCAAAAAGTAGTCTTTGTTTGAGGCAAGGTGGTCCACCTCCACTATAAAACACTATGGGAAACCTTGAAATGTACAGATGGGAATATATACGAGTGTCAGTTTAAAATCCAAAACTCGTCTTTTGAAAGTCTGTTGCAGCTGAATGAACATGCATTTCCACTTGCCAGGGCTTTTGACATTTGGATTAAGTCTCGTGGCATTGAGAATTTTCACTTGCCAAATGTACCTTGAAGAAGAGCTGAGTCCTCTAGCCATCTGAATGTTCCACCATGCCTGAGCATTGAGCAGTGTGTTTGACTGACTGCAGACTACTG